CGGTTCGAAGATAAAGGTGGTTGAAAACTGCCATGTTGTGAATCATCGCGTAGTTCCCTGAGTCCTTCTTGGGAACCAGGAAGATTGGTGAGTAGAACCCCGGGGACTGTCGGGGGTCTAGCACTGTCTCTATAGCTTGTTTGCGTAACAGAGTGTGGATGCTGTCTGCTAGCAGTAACTGTTGGTCTGGAGCATACACACGTGACTGGGGCGTTGAAGTCAGAGGCGGCGACACGGCGATTGGCAGCTTGTAACCGGTCCTGAGAATGTTGGTGATAAACGGGTCTTCCAGGATTGTCCAATTGGGCCAGAAGATCCCCAGTCTCCCGCCTACTGGAGTAGGACGAACCGCACGCGACTGGGGCGGAGGTCCCAGTCGTGTTAGTCGCAACTTCAGCGACCCGAAGTAAGGGCGCCTCCCCCTACCCCTGCCGTGCGTCGAAGGGGGGTCCCAATGACGATACTGCTGACGGCGCTGAAAAACAGGTTCGGATCTGCCACGGCCACGTCCTCTGCCAGAGGCTTCGCGGACGGAGTCTCTTCTCGGGACGTAACGGCGCTTCCCTCTACCCCTTGCAGATGATCTGCCACGAAAGGCCGAACTCAAAGCTTCGAACGTAGACAAAGAAACCTCCGTATTGGTAAGCTCTGCGTGTTCCTTATACACCTCCGGAATGCCGTCATTAAAGAGGAAACGAGACGCAAAAGGGGCTCTTAACAGTTTCCTTTTAAACTCTTCCTGCCAAGAACAGGGCTCCAGGAAACCCATCCGCCGAACAACCGTTGTCATGGCCAGAGCCGCCCGGAGGTGCGCCAGCAAATCATGCAACACCTTGCCCTGCCATTGAAACAGGGTGGTAAGATGTTCTAACCTTGACGTGTTGTCTTCCATCAGATCCCAAGCAGCAGCCGAAGTTGCCGAGGCCAACGCTGATACCGGCTTCAACATCCGCTTGAGTTCTGCATCAATGGCCAACATCTTGGAGTCCTGCACTCGGTAGGATGCCTGTGGGGAAGCCGATAAGCGCTTGAGGGACTCGTCATGAGCCGCGCCAAACTATGAATCTTGTAATCCCCTTTGCGTGACTTAGGAGCCTTTATCGTGGTATTGAGAGACAAAGTAGCAAAATCAGCGTCCAAAGAAGCCACAGCATCGGCCACCATCGGGTGAGGCGGGAGGAGTAACTCCGGAGAAGACCGAATAGCCTTCGGGTCGGCCGAACCTGAAGAGGGAGAAGGACAATCCGGCAGTCTGTCGGCAATCCAGTCGAACACAGCAGAGAGAGGGAGGTAGGTGCCCCCATCATCATCATCCTCTTGCAACATTTCCTCATTATAATCGGGAGAAAAATAGCGCTCCTCAGTGTCCTCCCAGGACACGGTAGGAGCAGTAAATCGTTGACCCGAAGCAGCAGGCTTCGGTGGGCGCACCGATGACAACTGAGAAGCAGCACTCAAAGTAACTGTCGGGAACGTGGGCGCCGCGGCGAGAGGCGAACAGGAGGTGACCTTGAACGGGACCGACGGTATAGCCTACCACGCATCGGTGACCGTGAGCGCCTCTCCCTATCCTTGGAACGTACGGGAGAGCGAGACCTTGAGTCAGACCGACGACGGCGAAGAGAAGTATCCGAACTAAGACGAGGACTCCTAGACCGATGATGCTGCCGAGGAGACCTGGAACGAGATCGTCGAGAACGATGGGAACGCTCGGCGTCCTGACGTCGGGAACGCTCTTCCATTAACTGACGTTGTAGGTTCTCCTCTCTAGACACTGTAGCCTTCCTGGGGATACGGTAGTCTGCCAAAGGCGTCGGAGCTGGCGCTGGCGCTGGCGCTGGCGTCGGTACAGGCGTCGGCGTCGGCATAGGCGTCGGCGTAGGCATCGACGTTGGTTGAAGCAACAAGTCAGCAACTGGAGAATCAAGTGCCACAGGCGTCGGCGCAGGGACAAAGCTAGGCAACGGCGCTGGAACGGTGCTAGCTTGGGCCCCGGCAGCTGCCGGCAAAAGGAGCGTCCGAAGCAACTTCTGAACCTCCGGATGCGACAAAGCGTCCGGGTGGGATAGGTCAACAAAGGCGTCAGACGAGCGCGTGGCTTCAGGCGTCAGCAAACGAGGCGCAGGGGTGGACGGCTGATCTATCACAGGAGAAGAGCGTCCGACCGGCATACGAGGGGGAGAAGACCGGGAGTCCACAGAAGAAACAGGGGAAGACATTTTCCTCTTCTGTTGTGACAAGCGTTTCTTCTTAGCGCTGAGGTAGGCCTTGAAATCTGCGACGGACAGCGGAGTACAAAAGTGACAGCGTTCGTCAATGGAACAGGCAACAGTCGCACAGTCTGGGCACCAGGGGTGTGGGTCCTTGGCAGACTTCTGCACCTTGCAGATGCAACAAAACTGCCGGGTCATGCACACCAAAAGCTGTAACACACAAATGTGAAACGTAAAAAACCTAGAAACAACCCCTGCAGACGAAAAAATGGAAGCACCCCTCCCACAAGAATGGGCACGCCCAAGTAAGTGGGACAGTCGTGTAAACAACCAAGATGGCTGCCCCCACACTGAGCCGAAAAAAGCGTGAAAAAACACACAAATTAGGCAAGAAAAAAGGAGGTACACAAAAACAAGCATGAAACAGAAGGTGGAAGAACCCTAGAGGTATCAAAACACCCAAACATGCCACGTGGAAAAAACTCGGAACGTGGGGACATACCCCAAGCCGAAGTGAAAAACATAAACACGAGGTAGCCAGGTAAGTGAAGTTACTTGTAAATTATGTTCTTCACCCACAGAGAAGAGACATAAGATAGAAAAACATACATACCAATAACTTTAATATCTGAAATCTATTAGTAAGTGTCTGAAAACTTAGCGAAACAAAAACGTCTGACAAGCAAGACGCTTGAAGTAAAAGTGATTTTGGATGGACCGCGCTTGCGGGGGAGGGGAGATCACGTCACTTCCGTTGCCTGTACACTCGTCGATACACGAGGTGGCCGTTCTATAGAATGGCGAATCAACGACTGTCTGATCTCTTTAAGCGGAGCTTGAGGTAATATGCATAAGACCTATGGTAAGGTAAGTTAAAAATTTTACCGATAGTAAATATAGTAACGAATGGAAACTATTAAAATTCTATTATTTTTTAATAATTATTACATCATCAGCAAAGAGAAGTACTACAAGTTCTGCTAAATTAGGGAGCATTTGTACACCATGTTTACCACAATTAAGAATTTCAAAGTACAATTCATCGATGAAAAAGGAAAACAGAACAGGACTAAGCATGCACCCCTGAAGCAGCCCATTAGGACAATCAAACAATCAAAATAGTCTGTGAGATCATATCCACAATGAACTCATCATTTAATATTTGCGTACATAGCGTTCAAGATAGAAGACATTTTACCCCCTCAGGCCAACTTCCATGATACATTGCCACAATTTAGAACGTTCAACAGAGTCAAATGCTTTTTTAATATCTACAAAGGCTACATATAGTTAAAAAAACACACAATGATAACCGTTTTTATTAAATGCATATCATTAGTTGAATAGTTCTTTCGGAAAGAAGCCTGGGATTCAGGTAGTTTGTTCCTCATATTTGATCAAAGTGAAAATCTATTATGAAGGACTTTTGTAAAAACCTTTCCCCAAATACTCATTAGTGACATACCCTGACATACTAAGATATTATTAAGGACTGGTGCTTTTCGTAATTTCAAGAGGTTAATATCTCACTATCACTTATGGCTGATACCAATAATCTCCTCAGACAACTGTAGCACTGCAACGATTTAAATGCCACAGTTTACAACAGTAGGAATAGCAGACCATCAACCCTTGCAAGTTTCACGACTGTGAGCAAATGGTGTTCATATGGGTTTCACACACGATGGAAAGGTGAACCAAGTGAAATGTGTGATAATCTAACAACTAGACTATCACCCTCGAGGATGTGACGGCGTGAAATCATCATAGTGAACAACATAACAGAGGAATCACATCAATAGAGATTGTTTTATTTGTTGTCAAATCCATCATGATATAGATACAATGTATATTACATGAATAACAAATGTCATTATTCTATTGTGGATTTCGCCATGTGAACAGACAGCAACTGTCAGAGCACTACTTAATACACCATCTGGCCTATACAACTTCACATTCTAAGCAACATATTTTTGTTTCATAAAATATGAGAACTGGTTTGAAAACAGAACAAATGTAAGGTTTTAATAGAATATGTATTCAGAGTAAATATAAACAAGTTCTTTCTGTGTTGTTCAGTGTTCACTGAAGCAACCTGTTCATTTTCCAATGTCTGTGATAACTTATACTAGCACTCATTCCAGCTCCCAGCCACAGAGACTGAAAGTACTACATTGGCTGGTAGAGGCACCACCCACCAAGGACAGGCAACATGTCCTCATGACATCCCATGTGAAACATGGAGGCACTACCAACAAAGGACAGGCAACATGTCCTCATGACATCCCCTGTGAAACATGGAGGCACCACCCACGAAGGACAGGCAGCATGTCATCATGACATCCCATGTGAAACATGGAGGCACCAACCACCAAGGACAGGCAACATGTCCTCATGACATCCTGTGTGAAACATGGAGGCACCGACCACCAAGGACAAACAACATGTCCTCATGACATCCTGTGTGAAACATGGAGGCACCGACCACCAAGGACAGGCAACATGTCCTCATGACATCCCGTGTGAAACATGGAGGCACCGACCACCAAGGACAGGCAACATGTCCTCATGACATCCCGTGTGAAACATGGAGGCACCGCCACCAAGGACAGGGAACATGTCCTCATGACATCCCGTGTGAAACATGGAGGCACCGACCACCAAGGACAGGCAGCATGTCCTCATGACATCCTTTGGGAAACATGGAGGCATGTCCTCATGAAACCCGTGTTAAACATGGCGGCACCACCCACCAAGGACAGGCAACATGTCCTCATGACATCCTTTGGGAAACATGGAGGCACCACCCACAAAGGACAGGCAACATGTCCTCATGACATCCATTAGGAAACATGGAGGCACTTCCCACAAAGGACAGGCAGCATGTCATCATGACATCCCATGTGAAACATAGAGGCACCACCAACAAAGGACAGGCAACATGTCCTCATGACATCCTTTGGGAAACATGGAGGCACCACCCACCAAGGGCAGGCAGCATGTCCTCATGACATCCTTTGGGAAACATGGATGCACCACCCACCAAGGACAGGCAACATGTCCTCATGACATTCCACAACTATTTCCTCCATTGCAGAAACTAGCTAAAAAGCAGTCATGAATGATGCGTTCTACAATATGAATACAGTGAAAATTCAAATGTTTCTTCATTTCTATACACATTTATACAAATCCCAAACATGATAATGATGAAACAAGATGACACATGTACTAATATGAATATGGTATATGTATGTTTACTGTTTTCATGATTAAAAAAAAGTTATTCCCCTTGGACATTTTCCAAACAGAATAAAGATTACTGATTCGCATGTACAATGTGATAAACAAAACCTTTAGCTTCAAACACAGCATGTCTTATTCAAAACTGACATAAAAATCCAGTGAATTTGGTCATTCTTATTTTCTCTTGATTAAACTTGACAGATAATCCTTCTGTTGTTCCCATTGCCCTATATCTCTATAATGATTCCATAGTCTATTCTTTAAACATTTACCCTGTACAATTCCCAAGTCCAATATTTTCTCAAAACAAACCCACAGAGATCTTTTTAATCCCATTATTTCCCTGTATGCTCCTGATCAATCTTATCTAAATTTCCTAACCACTTTCATGGTCTTCACTGATCTAATCACAGTTTCCTAACCATTTTGAGTCTCTTGAATAATGTGATCGTAGTTCTTTAACCACTCTTACTGTCTTCAATGATCTAATCACAGAATCCTAATCATTTTGAGTCTCTTCAATAATGTGATCGTAGTTCTTTAACCACTCTTACTGTCTTCAATGATCTAATCACAGAATCCTAATCATTTTGAGTCTCTTCAATAATGTGATAGTAGTTCTTTAACCACTTTCATGGTCTTCACTGATCTAATCACAGAATCCTAACCATTTTGAGTCTCTTCAATAATGTGATCGTAGTTCTTTAACCACTCTTACTGTCTTCAATGATCTAATCACAGAATCCTAATCATTTTGAGTCTCTTCAATAATGTGATAGTAGTTTCTTAATCACTGTCGCTGTCTTCACTGCCACTGACTCCCTCCCGGACGGAGATGTTGAACTTGTACTCCTGGTCACAGCCCATGTAGGCATCACTCATGAAGAAGATCACGTAGTTGTAGTGGCCAACAGAGGGCGCCACAAAATCCAGCTTGACCTTGGCCTTCTGTTGCAGGGTCAGGCGCTTGATGGATAGGAGGGAGTTGTTTTTCGGGTCACCAATGACTACCCACCATCCCTCTTCACGTTTCTTAGAAAAAATATTAATGCTTTTAAGTAAGTTTTCACGACTTTGTACCTTGGTCACTGAGTCAATATGTCAATATGAATCCATACTTCTGAAGTTTCTTCAGCTATATTCTTGTAAGTGTCTCCCTTTATTATCTGCACTATATATTATGTATTAAGTCATAAAATAACACATAGTTGTGGGGAATACCTGATTTAACATTCTCATTACATAACCATGCCCTTAAACAAGACAAGATGGACACCCTGGAAATATTTACCTGAGGAAAGAAAGGAGCGATGACGGGCCCGGACACTTCATCTTCTCTCTCAAGAGTCACAACTACATTCACAGTGGAACCACTGAAACAGACGGCATTGTCACATGTCACAACTACATTCACAGTGGAACCACTGAAACAGACGGCATTGTCACATGTCACAACTACATTTACAGTGGAACCACTGAAACAGACGGCATTGTCACATGTCACAACTACATTCACAGTGGAACCACTGAAACAGACGGCATTGTCACATGTCACAACTACATTCACAGTGGAACCACTGAAACAGTCGGCATTGTCACATGTCACAACTACATTCACAGTGGAACCACTGAAACAGACGGCATTGTCACATGTCACAACTACATTTACAGTGGAACCACTGAAACAGACGGCATTGTCACATGTCACAACTACATTCACAGTGGAACCACTGAAACAGACGGCATTGTCACATGTCACAGCTACATTTACAGTGGAACCACTGAAACAGACGGCATTGTCACATGTCACAACTACATTCACAGTGGAACCACTGAAACAGACGGCATTGTCACATGTCACAACTACATTCACAGTGGAACCACTGAGACAGACTGACTGACTGACAGAGTTTGTTTTTACGCAACAGAGTTTGTTTTTAGCTATATTCCAGGAACATCACAGCTGGGGACACCAGAAATGGGCTTCACACATTGTGCCCATGTGGGGATTTGAACCCGGGTCTTCGGCGTGACGAGCCAACGCTTTAACCATTAGGCTAACCCACCGCCCAACTGAGACAGACAGCATTGTCACATGGCACAAATACATTCACAATAAAACCACTCAGAGATGTCCTATCACAACTTTTCAATTTTGTATGTTTTTTAACATTGCACTCAGCAAAATTCCACTTCACTGTGATGGGATTTTCCTTTCAGCCTCTCTCAACATACATTTCAGCCTGGACCCTGTTCCACAAAGCGATTGTAACACTACAATAGTTGTAAATCACTACAATCCATATTGTAACTTTAACTTACAATCACTCCATCGTTCCTCAAAGCAATTGTAAATTACAATAGTTGTAAGTTCATCCCAGTGTTCAGACGAAGACTAGAAGATAACTACATTACACTTTGGCAGTCCAACTTGGAAAACACATCAAGTTATATATTAAAAATCGATGATGAGTTTTCCAAGTTGGACTGCCAAAGTGTAATGTAGTTATCTTCTAGTCTTCGTCTGAACACTGGGATGAACTCGCTAGTGGTAGGTAGAGTTGGGTTTAACCATATATACCCAAAACCGTTCTGTTCAAAAACAAAGGAGACAAAAATTTGGCCCTGAGAGGATATTTCGAGACCGTTGTCGTGTTCTTGATGTTTACAATGACGCTGAAATATTTTCAAGGTACAGAATGACGAGGGCTTCCATTCTGAAACTGGTAAACATGCTAGAACCTGGGTTATCCTCGGACACCCAGCGTTTACATGTACTATCCGTAGAAAGCAAGATTTTAATTACTTTGCGATATCTTGCTAACGGTCGATAATTTTTCATTTGCTTGAAAGGGGAAGCAACTCTCACCAACCGGAAGTAATGTAAACGCATTACTTCTAACATTCACGCAGAAGATCACAATTGTTATTTACGATCGAAAGAATTACAATCGCGATACTTACAATTCCCTTACAATAGCTTTGAGGAATGACAATAAATTGTTATTTAAGATAATTGTAAAGTTAATCGTAGGGCTAACAACTGATTGTAGCTACGATCACTTTGAGGAACGGGGCGCTGGAAATACTAAAATCCATGTCAGACCAGCCAGGGACTTTCAAGGTACAATGTAATGGTCCCTGAAAGCCCTCTCATTTAACACTGAACAAACAACAAGCTGGGCACCTAGTCCACCCAGGGCCCCGTTCCTCAAAGCGATCATAGCGCTAAGATGATCGTAACTCACATACTTTAACATAGACTTACGACTGTCATAGCACTACGATCGCTTTAAGGAACGGGTCCCCGGTCCCCACGGCTGAAAACCACACTACAGAATAAATGCAGGTTCTTTCTGACCTGTGGATCTGGTCCTTGTCCTGCACCTCATACGTCAGTTCGATGTTGGGGTAACGGTTGCAGAACCGCGCCACATCTGCCATCTCGGCCTCGCTCAGCTGCAGCAGCTGGTTCCGATCTTCATCCTCCATCTCCATCACATCAAAAATTGTTTCACTATTCTGAAAAAAAAACCAAAACACCACAAAGCATAAGTTCCCTGTCAGCATCAGACAACATAAGTCATCATCTAATACAACCCCACATTCTCCAGTGGTCACCAGTCCCCTGTCATCAGCTCATACAACCCCACATTCTCCAGTGGTCACCTGTCTCCTATCATCAGCTGATACAACCCCACATTCTCCAGTGGTCACCTGTCTCTTGTCATCATCTCATACAACCCCCCATTCTCCAGTGGTCACCTGTCCCCTGTCATCACCTCATACAACCCCACATTCTCCAGTGGTCACCTGTCCCCTGTCATCACCTCATACAACCCCACATTCTCCAGTGGTCACCTGTCTCCTGTCATCACCTCATACAACCCCACATTCTCCAGTGGTCACCTGTCTCCTGTCATCACCTCATACAACCCCACATTCTCCAGTGGTCACCTGTCCCCTGTTATCACCTCATACAACCCCACATTCTCCTGTGGTCACCTGTCCCCTGTCACCAGCTCATACAACCCCGCATTCTCCTGTGGTCACCTTTCTCCAGTGGTCACCTGTCTCCTGTCATCACCTCATACAACCCCACATTCTCCAGTGGTCACCTGTCCCCTGTCATCATCTCATACAACCCCACATTCTCCAGTGGTCACCTGTCCCCTGTTATCACCTCATACAACCCCACATTCTCCAGTGGTCACCTGTCCCCTGTCACCAGCTCATACAACCCCACATTCTCCAGTGGTCACCTGTCTCCTGTCATCACCTCATACAACCCCACATTCTCCAGTGGTCACCTGTCCCCTGTCATCACCTCATACAACCCCACATTTTCCAGTGGTCACCTGTCCCCTGTCATCACCTCATACAACCCCACATTCTCCAGTGGTCACCAGTCCCCTGTCATCAGCTCATACAACCCCACATTCTCCAGTGGTCACCTGTCTCCTATCATCAGCTGATACAACCCCACATTCTCCAGTGGTCACCTGTCTCCTGTCATCATCTCATACAACCCCCCATTCTCCAGTGGTCACCTGTCCCCTGTCATCACCTCATACAACCCCACATTCTCCAGTGGTCACCTGTCCCCTGTCATCACCTCATACAACCCCACATTCTCCAGTGGTCACCTGTCTCCTGTCATCACCTCATACAACCCCACATTCTCCAGTGGTCACCTGTCTCCTGTCATCACCTCATACAACCCCACATTCTCCAGTGGTCACCTGTCCCCTGTCATCAGCTCATACAACCCAACATTCTCCAGTGGTCACCTGTCTCCTGTCATCACCTCATATCACCTGTCTCCTGTCATCATCTCATACAACCCCTCATTCTCCAGTGGTCCCCTGTCCCCTGTCATCACCTCATACAACCCCTCATTCTCCAGTGGTCCCCTGTCCCCTGTCATCACCTCATACAACCCCACATTCTCCAGTGGTCACCTGTCTCCTGTCATCAGCTCATACAACCCCACATTCTCCAGTGGTCACCTGTCCCCTGTCACCAGCTCATACAACCCCACATTCTCCAGTGGTCACCTGTCTCCTGTCATCAGCTCATACAACCCCTCATTCTCCAGTGGTCCCCTGTCCCCTGTCATCACCTCATACAACCCCAGATTCTCCAGTGGTCACCTGTCCCCTGTCATCCCCTCATATCACCTGTCTCCTGTCATCATCTCATACAACCCCTCATTCTCCAGTGGTCCCCTGTCCCCTGTCATCACCTCATACAACCCCTCATTCTCCAGTGGTCCCCTGTCCCCTGTCATCACCTCATACAACCCCACATTCTCCAGTGGTCACCTGTCTCCTGTCATCAGCTCATACAACCCCACATTCTCCAGTGGTCACCTGTCCCCTGTCACCAGCTCATACAACCCCACATTCTCCAGTGGTCACCTGTCTCCTGTCATCAGCTCATACAACCCCACATTCTCCAGTGGTCACCTGTCTCCTGTCATCAGCTCATACAACCCCACATTCTCCGATTAGTGTTGGGAATCGGAAACCAAATCCACTATCGATTATTGGAGGACTTGAGGTGAACAATTATCGATTATAATCGAAATATATTTTTAATGTAATCACCAATCATAAGTGTTTTTCCCCAGTTTTTTTCTAATTAAAGTTTTTATTACTAATACTGTCATGCAATGAAATGCACACATGCAAGAAAGACACTGGAATTGTAATTAAACAATAAAGGAGGTTAAAATTTTACTATACGCATAGCTTTATGCTGCTGAGTGCATTTTTGTTTGTGAATATTCGACAAATTTAACGGTTAGTTTACTTTATTCAAGTGTGTTATACTAAAACAACAAAATTCCGATTAATCAAAAATATGTTTTTTACAATTGATAATCATTTTTAATCCCTTTCGATCGATTTTTTATTATTTTCAATCATCGGAACAGCACTATCTCCGATGGTGACCTTTCTCCAGTCATCAGCTCATACAACCCCACATTCTCCAGTGATGACCTGTCTCCAGCCATCAGCTCACACAGACATGTCTTCCCTTCCAATCTTACCTTCTCCTGACATCTCTTGATGATCTCCGGAGTGAAGTGTGGCAGTTGTTTGAGGTAGGAGTCCTTGCCCCACATGGCCTGAGTGACCATCTGTGCCAGCTCCATGGCTGCCAGCGCAGGACTCAGCCATCCGTTACTACTCAACACGTCCACACAGGCCTGGATCAAGCGTACAGCCTACAAGGAATCACACATTTATTGCTTCTGTACATGTACTTCCATAAATATAATAAGCCAACACTTTGTTCATGCTACCTCCTAGGCAAATGGTAACCTGTGAAGCAACACGGGAAATAAGATGCCTGTGTGAAGCACCACCAGCCCAATGTGAAGCACCACCGGGCCCAATGTGAAGCACCACCAGCCCGATGTGAAGCACCACCAGCCCGATGTGAAGAACCACCAGCCAAATGTCGAGGAACACAGGCCCAATGTCAAGCACCACCAGCCCAATGTGAAGCACCACTGACCCGATGTGAAGCGAAGTGATGCCACATGCCAAGTTATGTATGAAGTTCCATGTCAAGTTATATATATGCAACATTACATTACAATATTCTTATCGTAACTCACACTACATATTTCTGCCTTCTTCTTTTTGATCCTAGTGTGGAAACACTCCCAAGATGAAGTTTCCAGCTTCACAAAACACCTTACCCAAACATCCCATTCACTCTGTTCAAAGAGACTGACTGACTGACTGACTGACTGAGTTTGGTTTTAGGCCGCTTTTAGCAATATTCCAGCAACATTACGGCGGGGGGACACCAGAAATGGGCTTCACACATTGTGCCCATATGGGGATTCGAACCCGGGTCTTCGGCGAGACGAGCCAACGCTTTAACCATCAGGGTGCCCCACCGCCCCTGTTCAAAGAGAGGTGGCAGGTACAATATCAGGACACTATATAAATAGAAGGCCTAATGATGACTGTTATGACAACTTCTACCACAGCATGTGAAACAACAAGTGCAGCTACATGTAAAGCGACACGTGGAACAACATGTGAAGAAACGTTCAAAGCCACACATGAAACATGTGAAGTAACGTACAAAGTCACACATGAAACAACATGTGAAGCAATGTGCAGCGTATCGTCACACATGAAACAACATGTCAAGCAATGAGCAGCGTGTCGTACCTTGCTGAGGATGTCCTCCGTGTCGGACTGTAGTTCGGCCGAGAGCTGCATGCGAGACAGGTGAGCCTGAAGCAGCAGGTTGGTCTTCACGTGGGGGTCATTGAACTTGGGGTTTGTGGCCTTGTTGGGCAGGCGAGGAGCAAGCTGTATGGAAACATGTGAACATCTTACAGTTTCATTCATAGTACTGTGCTTGTTAACAACACATTATCAGTATCTACTCCCATCCACATTACAATTAACAGCTAGTCTCTCAACATTTATCATTATGATTTACAGAGTGTCATGTTCTCTGGTTAGTTAAGCTGAATGCTTGTGTTTTTTCATACAATTTTAATGAAACAAGATACACCCAAAGACAAAGTGAGAGAAACTTGCCTGTCTGAGGATGGCATCTTCACCATGCCGAATTGGAATGTTTTCATTTTCTGCAGCATTTGAGATAATCTCAATGAGACCCTTGATCTTAGTCTTGCTGTTTAGAGACATACTGAATAGTTCTGCAAACAACAAATCAAATATAATTCAGTTCAAATTCTATAATACCGACAGTCATGACACCAGATCCAAGTTTGGCAAAAGCCAACATATGAGAGTGATATAATCCTACTGCAACAATGAGACAGTGATGTGATACTACTGCAACAATGAGACAGTGGTGTAATACTACTGCAACAATGAGACAGTGATGTAATACTACTGCAACAATGAGACAGTGATGTAATACTACTGCAACAATGGGACAGTGATGTAATACTACTGCAACATTGGGACAGTGATATAATACTACTGCAACATTGGGACAGTGATATAATACTACTGCAACAATGAGACAGTGATGTAATACTACTGCAACAATGAGACAGTGATGTAATACTACTGCAACAATGAGAGTGATGTAATACTACTGCAACAATGGGACAGTGATGTAATACTACTGCAACAATGAGACAGTGATGTAATACTACTGCAACAATGAGAGAGCTGTGTAAGACTACTGCAACAATGAGACAGTGATGTGATACTACTGCAACAATGGGACAGTGATGTAATCCTACTGCAACAATGAGACAGTGATGTAATACTACTGCAACAATGAGAGAGCTGTGTAAGACTACTGCAACAATGAGACAGTGATGTAATACTACTGCAACAATGGGACAGTGATATAATACTACTGCAACAATGAGACAGTGATGTGATACTACTGCAACAATGAGACAGTGATGTAATCCTACTGCAACAATGAGACAGTGATGTAATACTACTGCAACAATGAGAGAGCTGTGTAAGACTACTGCAACAATGAGACAGTGATGTAATACTACTGCAACAATGGGACAGTGATATAATACTACTGCAACAATGGGACAGTGATATAATCCTACTGCAACATTGGGACAGTGATATAATCCTACTGCAACATTGGGACAGTGATGTAATCCTACTGCAACAATGAGACAGTGATGTAATACTACTGCAACATTGGGACAGTGATGTAATCCTACTGCAACAATGAGACAGTGATATAATCCTACTGCAACATTGGGACAGTGATGTAATCCTACTGCAACAATAAGACAGTGATGTAATACTACTGCAACAATGGGACAGTGATATAATACTACTGCAACAATGGGACAGTGATATAATCCTACTGCAACATTGGGACAGTGATATAATCCTACTGCAACATTGGGACAGTGATGTAATCCTACTGCAACAATGAGACAGTGATGTAATACTACTGCAACCATGGGACAGTGATGTAATCCTACTGCAACAATGAGACAGTGATATAATCCTACTGCAACATTGGGACAGTGATGTAATCCTACTGCAACAATAAGACAGTGATGTAATACTACTGCAACAATGAGACAGTGATGTGATACTACTGCAACAATGAGACAGTGATGTAATCCTACTGCAACAATGAGACAGTGATGTAATACTACTGCAACAATGGGACAGTGATATAATCCTACTGCAACAATGAAACAGTGATGTAATACTACTGCAACAATGAGACAGTGATGTAATACTACTGCAACAATGAGACAGTGATGTAATACTACTGCAACAATGAGACAGTGATGTAATACTACTGCAACAATGAGAGAGCTGTGTAAGACTACTGCAACAATGAGACAGTGATGTAATACTACTGCAACAATGGGACAGTGATATAATACTACTGCAACAATGGGACAGTGATATAATCCTACTGCAACATTGGGACAGTGATGTAATCCTACTGCAACAATAAGACAGTGATGTAATACTACTGCAACAATGGGACAGTGATATAATCCTACTGCAACAATGAGACAGTGATGTGATACTACTGCAACAATGAGACAGTGATGTAATCCTACTGCAACAATGAGACAGTGATGTAATACTACTGCAACAATGAGACAGTGATGTAATACTACTGCAACAATGAGACAGTGATGTAATACTACTGCAACAATGGGACAGTGATATAATACTACTGCAACAATGGGACAGTGATATAATCCTACTGCAACATTGGGACAGTGATGTAATCCTACTGCAACAATGAGACAGTGATGTTATACTACTGCAACAATGAGACAGTGATGTAAGAGTACTGCAACAATGGGACAGTGATATAATACTACTGCAACCATGGGACAGTGATATAATACTACTGCAACAATGGGACAGTGATATAATCCTACTGCAACAATGAGACAGTGATGTTATACTACTGCAACAATGAGACAGTGATGTAAGAGTACTGCAACAATGGGACAGTGATATAATACTACTGCAACCATGGGACAGTGATATAATACTACTGCAACAATGGGACAGTGATATAATACTACTGCAACCATGGGACAGTGATATAATACTACTGCAACAATGGGACAGTGATATAATCCTACTGCAACATTGGGACAGTGATATAATACTACTGCAACAATGAGACAGTGATGTGATACTACTGCAACAATGAAACAGTGATATAATACTACTGCAACAATGAGACAGTGATGTAATACTACTGCAACAATGAGACAGTGATGTAATACTACTGCAACAATGAGACAGTGATATAATACTACTGCAACAATGAGACAGTGATGTAATACTACTGCAACAATGAGACAGTGATGTAATACTAATGCAACAATGAGACAGTGATGTAATACTACTGCAACAATGAGACAGTGATGTGATACTACTGCAACAATGAGACAGTGATATAATCCTACTGCAACAATGAGACAGTGATGTAATACTACTGCAACAATGAGAGAGTGATATAATCCTACTGCAACAATGAGACAGTGATGTAATACTACTGCAACAATGGGACAGTGATGTAATACTACTGCAACAATGAGTCAGTGATATAATCCTACTGCAACAATGAGACAGTGATGTAATACTACTGCAACAATGAGACAGTGATGTAATCCTACTGCAACAATGAGACAGTGATGTAATACTACTGCAACAATGAGACAGTGATGTAATACTACTGCAACAATGAGACAGTGATATAATCCTACTGCAACAATGAGACAGTGATATAATACTACTGCAACAATGGGACAGTGATGTAATACTACTGCAACAATGGGACAGTGATGTAATACTACTGCAACAATGAGACAGTGATATAATCCTACTGCAACAATGAGACAGTGATGTAATCCTACTGCAACAATGAGACAGTGATATAATCCTACTGCAACAATGAGACAGTGATGTAATACTACTGCAACAATGAGACAGTGATGTAATACTACTGCAACAATGAGACAGTGATGTAATAGTACTGCAACAATGGGACAGTGATATAATACTACTGCAACATTGGGACAGTGATATAATACTACTGCAACAATGGGACAGTGATACAATCCTACTGCAACATTGGGACAGTGATATAATACTACTGCAACAATGAGACAGTGATGTAATACTACTGCAACAATGGGACAGTGATGTAATACTACTGCAACATTGGGACAGTGATATAATACTACTGCAACATTGGGACAGTGATGTAATACTATTGCAACAATGAGACAGTGATGTAATACTACTGCAACAATGAGACAGTGATGTAATACTACTGCAACAATGAAACAGTGATGTAATACTACTGCAACAATGAAACAGTGATATAATACTACTGCAACAATGAAACAGTGATATAATACTACTGCAGTAATACTACTGCAACAATGAGACAGTGATGTAATACTACTGCAACAATGAGAGAGCTGTGTAATACTACTGCAACAATGAGAGAGCTGTGTAAGACTACTACAATGGTTCACACATCTGTGTGACCTCACCTATGGTTGTGTAGTTGATGTAGTAGTATGCAGCGATCATGCCAAGATTGAGTGGTGCCACATCCATGTCATCCTCAACACTGATACACTGAAATATCAAAATCAGAATTTTAAGGGATTTACCACATCAATCATTTAAATATGTACTTGGCATGAAAACTAGTTTCTTATGTGTTGCTTATCCAGGTTAAAAAAATTTGTCTTCTGAAGAGGTTAGGTGAAATAGGGTTTAACGTCACACTTAAGAATATTTCACTCATATGACGACATGCATGCGTGTTTGTGTGGCTGCTTGTACTAGCCCAGACTTAAGCTGGTTCTATGGTGCTAGCTCAGTGAAGCATGAATACCCCACTCAGACACATTATACTGATTCTGAGCCGACCAGTCCTTGTTGTACCCATTAAAGCCGAGCACCAGGCAGGGACCAACAAGTACCATATTTTAACGTCTTTTGGTATGAAGAGGCCGGTGATTGAACACGCGGACGTCCTCTCTCCGGGTGGACGCTCTAACCACTGCACCATGGAGGCGGTCTCAATACTGAAGAATACACTGAAGGCAAATGGTCAACATTATAAAGAAAATAAAACACAAATATAATGTTTAAGGAAGTAAGATGATTGGCTTACCTTGGAGTGTTCAAGATTGTTGATTGTGTTTTCCACCAGCTCAGACAGGTGGTCTGACAAGTGACGATGAGACACACCTGCGGACACAGAAAACTGAGTGAAGAAAGTACACAAGCTAATGGTCCAGCACCAAGCTTTGACCACACTTCAAGGCCAAGTGTGCTTGTGATGCATGTGTGTGCTTGATGAAACTAAATCATTACATGTGTGCAAACTCTCAATCCAACAGTACTTACATTAGGGTTTACACATTACACAGAAGAGAATAGAAATTGGTCAAGCTTTTAACATCAACTTCAATCAAGATAGAATCACAAATCAAGGTAGACTATTCTGCCAAGGAAGCCCCTACTCACCCTGGAGGTTGTAGTAGTTTGGATTCTGGGTCATCCTCCGGTAGATGAACGTCCATGTCAGGTAGTCCACAGCATCCTGCTTGTTCTCTACAGTCTTTGTGACGATCTCTGCGTTGAAGTGGTCGTGAAGGCAGTGGTCCAAGTGACTCTGAGACAGATGGTAGCAGGCAGTGTGTAATTTGGTGTCTAACACCTAACAGTATGACATTCATATCATACTGAGGTGCTTCAAATTGATGGGTGGAATCAAAGAATATAGCTATGAGAAATCAGGGAAAATCTGGAAACCGTATCACGAACTACCTAATCGTGTCCCTCAGACAACTGACTCTCTCAGAGAGAGAGAGAGAGTAGACAGTCACCTGGCCTTCCAATACACAGCTACAACACTCTGGACAGCTGACAAAGCCATCCCAAAGCAGTTGGGGTAAGACCATGTTTAATGAAAAATGTGTTGCTACTCTTTGACAAAAGTGTAACCACAATCTTTCTGTGAGATTTCGCATGGCCTTGACCATGACCTCTTCAAAAGACTATGACAGGTCCATGCGGAGCAGTCCCTTATATCAACAGATATTCAAAAACAGCTTTGCCCCATTTTCAACAGAAAGTATGATACAACAATATAAATTCAAATGTGAATTAGATCTGATGTTGCAAGATCTGTCAACATACATGTTAAAAACAAATACCTATGAGTCTAATTGGAAACAGTTTCTATATTTTCTTTTTCTATCCCCTGAACTTTCCATATCTCCTTTTCATCACATGTGTGAAAACAATCCTGAAGGGTATTTCTAAATAATATTCTGAACATTTATAATCTTTGTGTTGTAGGCATTAGAATAAATTCAAACTGTCTCCAATTTCATCGGAATGTTGAAACAGAACTGGACAGAGTTTTAGCAGGGAAACTCACCTCCACAGGCAGCGGTTCATACAGGAACTTCTTGAAAAACTCCTTCTTTGAACTCTGGCACATGATTAGGGCCTTGCCTGCGATAGGAACATCATCTCAGTCATTTCACAATACTATCACATGTCGGCATAGACTGCACACATAATAGTCTCTCGATAATCATGGGGGTCTAACTCCTTCATTCACCTACATATTTAATGTGGTGTGGCCACGTTGCCTTGGCAAAGCTGTCTTTTGATGCAAAGCAAAGTAGTATTCAAGTACATTCCATGACATATCACAAAATCGACTTATCTGTTCATGATGATGTTAAGCCATAGCACAAAGAAGGATGTTATGAAAACTCACTGCAAAAAGTATTAATACAGACAGTCTACAAAACATATGTTTTGAAAATATATTTCTCTTCTTGAAATCCAGATTTGAATTTTCAACGTATCAGTCAGGTGGCCGGAGGAAGTGTGTTTCCATAGCAACAAGTCTGCTAGTAGAGATCCACTTTATTCCCAGGAAGGGAGTTTTCATGACCTCTCCCAACTCCCTGCCTCCCTGCTGTGCAGGCTTCAGTAAGTATGTAGGTATTTCCCTATTCTAACAAGAAGAGATATCTTGACTTGAGCTTTAAACTTTGCATTATGGAGGACAAAAGCCAGATATTTGCTATGACAAAGTTACACTATTTCTGACCTTCCTTGTCCGACAGGGGCCGGTTTGCCTTCCCCACCATCTGCAGCACATCTGTGATGGGGTAGTCTTCATACCTGCAGGTCACGGCAAATAGGTATTATGGTGGAAACCAGAAGCAAAGTACTTCCTATATATTTCTTAACACTTTTTTCAGGAAATAAAATGTTCCGCACAACCCTATCAATCCCACTGGCCCTCATCCCCACCCCATCTGACTCAACTCTAACCAACCCATCCCATCCCACCCTAACCAACCTGTCCATCCCTACCCTAACCAACCCATCCCACCCCACCCTAACCAGCCCATCTGACCCACCTGACCAACCCATCCCACCCCACCCTAACCAGCCCATCTGACCCACCCTAACCAGTCCATCCAGATTCACCCTAACCCATCCCACCTTAACCCATCCAACCCCACCCTAACAACCCATCCCACCCCATCTGACCCACCCTAACCAGCCCATCCAGATTCACCTAACCCACCCCACCCCACCCTAACAACCCATCCCACCCCACCCTCACAACCCATCAGACTCCCACCCTAACCAGCCCATCTGACCCACCCTAACCAGCCCATCCGGACCCACCCTAACCAGCCCCACCCTAACAACCCATCCCACCCCACCCTAACAACCCATCCCACCCCAGCCTAACCAGCCTAACCAACAAATCTGACCCAACCCTAACAACCCATCCCACCCCACCCTAACAACCCATTCCACCCTAACAACCCATCTGACCAACCCTAACAACCCATCGCACCCACCTAACCAACTCATCCGACCCAACTCTAACAAACCCATCGCACAACACCGTAACCAACCCATCCCATCCCACCCAAACCAACCTGTCCATCCCTACCCTAACCAACCCATCCAACCCCACCCTAACCAGCCCATCTGACCGACCCTAACCAACCCATCCCACCCCACTCTAACCAGCCCGCCTGACCGCATCCAAACCAGCCCATATGACAACACCCAAAACCAACCATACTCTAACCAACCCTTAAAGGACCAAACTCTCACAAACAATCTGACCCCACCCCAACCAGCCCATCTGACACCACCTAAACCAACCCATCCAACTCGAACCAACCCATAAAGGACCAAACCGTAACAAACAACCCGACCCCACCCTAACACACACACTAACACCACCCTTACCAGTCCATAAAGAAGCAAACCCTTTATCTTCAACACCACCAAAACACCAACCAATCCTCAACAACACCCACAAACCTAGCCATCCTCAACACCACTCAAAACCCTAGCCATCCTCAACACCACCCAAAACCCTAGCCATCCTCAACACCACCCAAAACCCTAGCCATCCTAAACACCACCCAAAACCCTAGCCATCCTCAACACCACCCAAAACCCTAGCCATCCTCAACACCATCCAAAAACTTAGCCATCCTGGCTATCACAACCGTATCCCCACAATCCCAACCTCCAACCCCCGAGCCCACAACCATGTGTTTTACCAAATATTTAAACTAGTGTTATTTAAAACAGCATGCTTTTTTGTTCATCAAAATAAGCTTCCATCAGTTTTAGTTGTACTTCAACAAGCAGATACTCACGAGTGCGTCTTTCCATCGTAGTACTGTGTGTCCATGACAACTGTAAGATGGGCAGCCATGCTCATGCCCCATGCCAGACTCCTAGATGCCACAACAACCTGGATTGCCCCACTGTTAAACAGCTGCTCCACAACTTTACGCTCTATCTCATTCAGACCCTCATGCAGGTATGCAACTCCATTTGTCAGAGTCTCCTTCAGTGTCTAACAACACAAAAACATAACTGATAACAAAAATATCCATGTTGGAATAAATAAATAATTCTCATTAAGTTATTTGGGTCTTAAACTCGGAAACCTAAGAAAGTAGGAAAAGGTTACAAACACAAACTCCTAAATGATGTCAACCTTTGAAAAGGAGAGTACTGTATAGTGGCATAACAACAATTTGCTTAAGGTTTGGTAATGCAGCCAAGTGGTAAGAGCGTTGGCTCATTATGCAGAAGACCCTGATTTACCTGGAATATTGCTGAAAGTTACAGAAACCCTGACTGACTTACTCAATTTTATAGAAGTAAAGGTAAGTAAAAGAAGATGTAAGTTTTCAAATAAAATTGATATTTTAAAACTTATCCTGACTCATGATCTTTTGCTTATCTCCCTTTTCTTTTCGAATGGTAGTGGACCACTTGAATCCCTTGAAGTTCCCGAGGCGGACGTAAAACTACACTCACCCACAAGTTAGCTCGATTTTCCCGCGTAAACAGTCATGTGATTAGCTGTATTTGTCACTCTCTCCTCATTTTTCTGCCCAAGCACTTGGATCTGCTGTGCAATCCGAAGTGTTTCCAGCGGGGAGGTCGGGAGGGCTTGACCTCATGAGTCAGGATAAGTAAAAAAAAATCAATTTTACTTGAAAAATTACATATTTTTTCCTATACAGACTCATGATCTTTTGCTTATAGAATCCAATGGATTGGTGGTGGGTCAGGCCACTTCCTGGATTCATCAGCTGTCCTTAGATACGTCCCCCCAATGGGAACTGTGCAGTGGCATTTCCGAGATCCTACACGTACTTGTCTTACGTACAGGTAAGATCTTTACCCATACAGGATCTTTAATCACTCATGCTAGCCTGTCCTAGACTGTACACAAGGAGGTGTGTAGATAATGTCGAATCTTTCAGATGTCTGGTCTGTCTAAGATGACACCGGTATTCCGCCACTTGAGGATGAGTAGCTTTCATCGCAGTGAAGTCTTTCCGTCTTGCATAAGTCACAAACTTCAGCCACTTGTCATCATACAGGTTACGAGTAGATCTGCGTATCACTAGCGTTGCTGCTTTTGATACGGTCCACACGTGTAGCTGGAACAGTGTTGGGTTCCTTTGGACTTGCTTGGTGTGAGGATGTATGAGTAGGTTCGGCCAGTCTGGTAAATTGATTGTTGGATTTCCGAGATCTTCTATTAGGTCTAGGAACCATACTCTCGCTGGCCAGTATGGCGCAACCAAGGTCAGTTGTAGCGCCTGTGTCTGTTTGATCTTCAACAGTACTTTCGGTAGTAATATCAGTGGTGGAATCACATAAGCGTTTAGTCCTTCCCATGATATGTTCAGTGCATCTGTTGCCCAGGCTTGAGGATCTGGAACTGGTGAGACAAACGTCTGTAGTTGTTTGTTGAACCTTGTGTCAAACAGGTTTATGGAGGGGGATCCTATTTCCCTTATGATGAGCCAAAATGCTTCTGGATGGAGTATCCATTCTGTAGGTGACGGGTGCAGTGGTCGGGAGAGAGCGTCTGCAAGCACGTTCTTGACTCCAGGTATGTGACACGCCTTTATCCAGATGTTTGCCTCCTCCGAGATGTCAAATAACTGGAATGTGAGCTGTAGTATGCTTGGTGATCTTGTAGATCCTTGCCGATTTATGGAGAATGCCACTGTAGAGTTGTCTGTGTTGACCATCAGCATTCTGTTGATCAGCGAGCTCGACCATAGTTGTCAGGCGTTGATCACAGCTTTCATCTCCAGCAGATTGATGTGAAGATGCTGCTCTGTTGGGACAACTTCCTTGATGCAACTTGATTGTTGAGATGTGCACCCCAACCTTGTATCGATGCGTCTACGTAGAGATGTGTGTCGAAGGCCGGCTCTTGTAAATAGGTCCCTCTGCAGACGTTCAACCTGTGGTTCCACCAAAGTAGGTACTTCTTAAGATTGTGTGGCAGCAAGATAGGGTCGACGCTGTCCAGATGTTTTGTCAGGAACCGTTGCAGCGGCCTTAGTTGTAGTCTTCCTGTGCGAGTCAAGTCCTGCGCCGAGGTTAGTAGACCGAGTAGACATTGCCATGCTTGTAGTGTTAACAGAGAGATGACTGCTTGTGGAATCATGGCTTGCATCTTGACCCAATGATCTTCTGGGACCACAATTCGATTCTGTGTTGTGATAATTCTTATTCCTCGTAATTAAAGATCTTGTTTGATTCTAACTCCAACTTCATCAGGTTCACTAGCCATCCTAGTTGCGTCAGCAACTTAATTGTTCAGCTGCATGTCTGTATGGATCTTAAAGAAATACCGATGTTGAATCTAGTTGATAGGATATAAAATCCTAATCCCCACGCTGAGTGATGAGTGTTAATAATATCATCTGTACGTCCGTTCAAGGATACTTGAAGGCGTTAACCTTAAGCCTTTTTACAAAGATCACCTTGAGGTTCTCCAGTACTTGAGATATCGGCTTCATAGGTGATATCATATTGGAGTTGAAGTCATCAGCGAATATGAAGTACATCTCTGTTGGGTTGGAGTCAGTGAGTGAACGACAATATCCACAGGCCATCTGCTACCTGGTAAAAGACCTAAGCATCCGTATAGATGAAGTGATTCCTTTCATCAAGTAGGTTGTCGTCCGAAACTGAACCTATACAGGTATAAGGTTTGTGCAGATTGTAGAGTTGTGCAGGCTGTAAACTGTAGGGATCGCACATGTTGTAGATCTTTTTGTTGAGTTTTAAACTCTGACAAAACATCCGTTTTCATCATTGCTTCGTTTTATTCAGCCGTATGGTAATTGAGTCGATGACAACAACCTGCCTGTTGATGTAAGGGTTTGTTAACCCTAGGGTTCCCTTCGCGAACGTCTGTGATGTGAGCCTTCTCTTCGCGAACCTCTGTCTCGTGATGAGTGACTTCGTGAACCTCTGTGAGAGATATGAGATCTCGATCTAGAGCAGCTAGGTGTAGGAGATGGATCCTCCGATGTTCTCGAATGTTGAGGGTTCGTAGATGTAGAATGATGAGTAGGTATCTCATGTCTTCTATCCTCCTCCAAGATGAGGATAGGCATCTCATGTCTTCTATCCTCCTCCAAGATAACAGAGTCGCCCGACTGTGGAGACTTTCGCAAAGGTGTACGTTCGCCAACGTAGTCTTGAGACGTAGTTCTCTGAGTAGGTTCACGCAGGTCTGTAGGTTTGCGCACGATGTCAGTAGATGAGAGGCTTCGACGAGCCTTAGCTTCTTCCTCAAACCTACGTTCCATCATGGCTATCATCTGGTTGGTGAATTGTCTCATAATTTCACCCGGATCAAGTTCTGTGTAGATTGAAGCTGCTGCGGTGTAGAAGAAGAGTTCGCGAACGCTGATGAGTTTTGTGCCTCGCCTTCACTCCGTTGAGAGGTTGGTGGTAGTTCGTCAAACAGCTGTCCTGCTGTGACCGTTGCAGGAGACGATTTAGTAGTCAATTGAGTCGCCGATCTCGTAGGTACTTCAGGTAGAAGTAACGGAGGATCATCAAAAAACGTCTACTTCATGCGGAGGTAATATCTCTTCGTTGAAGGATTTCCGATGCATTGACTTACTAGGCCGCGTAGATTTACACTCCAATCTGGTAACAGATGCTTTCTTCTGCGACGTAGAAGACGACATCGTTTTCTTAGCTTGAGTCGGACACAACTGCGTTGTAGCCGATCTGTTCTTGGCCCCCGTACCAGCAGACTGCCCCTGCAACATACTCAACATAGCACCAGTATTATGAATTTCAGCCGCGACTTGAGGTGACTTCCTCACTCGATCCATGGCACGTCTATAGATATAAGACAAATATTGATTAAATTGTAGATTTGATAAATCAACACAATAAGTACAGCGCAAGCTGGAAGAACATGGTTTTATGCACGAAGGGCATTGGGGGTGAGGATCAGCCACGGATAACCTGTGCCTGCAAACACTGCAAGATTTCATGAAATGTAAACAAAGTTACATAACAATGAAATTATGACACAAATACAAATAAGTGGACAAAATATTTACATTTAATACATAGTAGTTATTGCCAAATCCATACACAGCATAATTTTGAAGAATAGGACCTAAATAAAAAGGATATAATGCTATATACGGGACTCCAGTGCTCGCCCAACCATCCACTTGGGCGAAAAGGGAGAGAGTGACAAGTAAGGCTGGTCACATGACTGTTTACGCGGGAAAAGGGAGCTAACTCGTAGGTGAGTGTAGTTTTACGTCCACTTCAGGAACTTCAAGGGATTTAAGTGTTCCACTACCATTCGAAAAGAAAAGGGAGATAAGCAAATGATCATGAGTCAGGATAAGAAAAATAATATTTGTCTCGTGACACTACTAGCATCAACTCGGAGAACAATAAAGATATTCAGTCCACCATCAAGGTGAAGCAATTGGTAACAGGTACCAACCTTGTCCGACACTTTCTCCAGGAACGGTTCCAGGTCGGACTCCACAACATGGAGGAAGCGACTCTGAGGCTTATCGTCAGGCCCTGGGGTGATGTCAGCAGCTGCAAACGTGAGGATGTCTATAGCTGTCAGTCTGGTCTGCTTCCTGGACGGCACAAACAAGACCACAGGCTTCCTGGGAGAGTACTTCAAAATGGCTTGGTATGCTGGCTTGGCCATTGCGATGATACGTGAGGCATTGTGAGAAATGTTAAATCCCTGCAAGAGTAAGTTGTATGGTTTACTGATATATGTCATCATAAACATAAATGCATCAATTAAGAGATCATCATACTGTTTGCAATGTTGAACTATGTTATCTGATGATTTTATAATCCTAAGTTGAATATGGAACCTGGTGTTCTATTAACTAACACAGTGTTACAGACTTAAAACAGTTTATTTTCAGGTTAGGTTAATGTGATTTGAAAACTCAACTGATCATTCAAAACAAGTATTCCCAAATCGTTCATTAGACTGAACCATCAGGGGCTTGCGCCAAAAAGCAGTCTACTACAACAGTCAACACTTAACACAGATAGAGGATAGACAGAGGCTGGTCGTAAAACTAGACACCGACTCGGGACTGTCGTAGCACCATGACATGATGGACACGACTCGGGACTGTCGTAGTACCATGACATGATGGACACGACTCGGGACTGTCGCAGTACAATGACATGATGGACACGACTCGGGACTGTCGTAGTACCATGACATGATGGACACGACTCGGGACTGTTGTAGCACCATGACCTGATGGACACGACTTGGGACTGTCGTAGCACCATGACATGATGGACACGACTCGGGACTGCCGTAGTACCATGACATGATGGACACGACTCGGGACTGCTGTTGTACCATGACATGATGGACACGACTCGGGACTGTCGTAGCACCATGACATGATGGACACGACTCGGGACTGTCGTTGTACCATGACATGATGGACATGACTCGGGACTGTCGTAGCACCATGACATGATGGACACGACTCGGGACTGTCCTAGCACCATGACATGATGGACATGACTCGGGACTGTCGTAGCACCATGACATGATGGACACGACTCGGGACTGTCGTAGCACCATGACATGATGGACACGACTCGGGACTGTCCTAGCACCATGACCTGATGGACATGACTCGGGACTGTCGTAACACCATGACATGATGGACACGACTCGGGACTGCCGTAGCATCATGACATGATGGACACGACTCGGGACTGTCGTAGAACCATGACATGGACACGACTCAGGACTGTCTTAGTACCATGACATGATGGACACAACGTTGTTATCACTGACCTGGATATGGAGCTCCAGAGGAACAGGTCTCACATTGGGATGGAAGTTGAAGATGGCAGTGGTGCCACATCCCAACCACGGAGCTACATCCTTGGCATTGGAGAGCGACGAACTTAAGGCCACAATTCGGATGTTCCTCTCTAACTGTGAGGAAATGTACCTCATCCTGGAACAGATTACCTCCAGCACCGGCTGCAACACCATACATTGTTGGCATAGTTATTTGACTGCCTACATGAAATACAACCACATTGAGAAACTACACTGAAATACCAGCAGCAAGGAAATATTATCATACCTGGTTCTAAACAACATATAACACTGACATCTTCGCAAGTAAAAGTGACCTCATGTATATGGTTTGTAAATGGGGTGTGATGTAACAAGTCACTAGGATGGAAGTTGTACTACATTTGACACGTAAGAGACTACAGCAAGACAACAAGATCTGGCACAAGTGACCTACCCCGACTTCCCAGCCAATCAGGTGCAGCTCATCGACAATGAACAAATTCACATTCTGAACATTCTTCCTCTGTTTCCATCGCCGTGACAACACATCCCACTTCTCTGGTGTGCTGATCACAATGTTTCCCTGTTTGAAGATGAATATTTACAATCATGATTAGAATCCAGAAAATGTTGACATCCGGTGTTTTCTACAGTGGCTCCTTACTCTCATTCTTATTGTGTCAGTGATGCCAACCAGTCCACAATACTTTAACCAAATAATGGTGGCCTGACCACTAACAGATACTGGCCCCACTGGGCCCAGCCAATCATCAACTGGCTCTCATGAGCATTAGGCTTACTGAGAACTAATTCTACTGTAGAATCAGTTCCGGGAACTTGCTATCTATTAAAGATATATTCTTCATAGTGGAATGTCTTACCTTGGCAAGGAGCTTGAGATCTGTGCCAGTCTCCCCAGTCAGGAGGACAACTTTCTTCCCCAGCTGAACAGCAAACTTGTTGTACCAGTCATTGTACACCTACACATGGAAATCAGGAACTTAGTAAGTTTAATGGCTTACTTCTAGTTTGATTTGTGAAAGTAAAAAAATGACCATATGTGTGTGCATCATGACGTAGTTATCATCCAGCATAATTCAGTTGTAAGGAATCATAGTCTGTGAGGTCATAGTGGTCTGTGAGGTCATAGTGGTGTGTGGAATCATAGTGGTCTGTGAGGTTATAGAAGTGTGTGGAGTCATAGAGGTCATAGTGGTTTGTGAGGTCATTGTAGTGTATGGAGTCATAGTGGTCTGTGAGGTCATAGTGGTCTGTGAGGTCATAGTGGTCTGTGAGGTTATAGTAGTGTGTAGAGTCATAGTGGTCTGTGAGGTTATAGTGTGTAGAGTCATAGTGGTCTGTGAGGTTATAGTAGTGTGTAGAGTCATAGTGGTCTGTGAGGTCATAGTGGTTTGTGAGGTCATAGTGGTCTGTGAGGTTATAGTAGTGTGTGGAGTCATAGTGGTCTGTGAGGTTATAGTAGTGTGTAGAGTCATAGTGGTCTGTGAGGTTATAGTAGTGTGTAGAGTCATAGTGGTCTGTGAGGTTATAGTAGTGTGTAGAGTCATAGTGGTCTGTGAGGTTATAGTAGTGTGTGGAGTCCCAGAGGTCATAGTAGTGTGTGGAGTCCCAGAGGTCACAGTAGTGTGTGGAGTCAAAGTAGTCTGTGATGTTATAGTAGTGTGTGGAATCAGAGAGGTCATAGTAGTCTGTGAAGTCATAGTCGTCTGTGAGGTCATAGTGGTCTGTGAGGTTATAGTAGTGTGTGGAGTCATAGTGGTCTGTGAGGTCATAGTAGTGTGTGGAGTCATAGTGGTCTGTGAGGTTATAGTAGTGTGTAGAGTCATAGTGGTCTGTGAGGTCATAGTGGTCTGTGAGGTTATAGTAGTGTGTGGAGTCATAGTGGTCTGTGAGGTCATAGTAGTGTGTGGAGTCATAGTGGTCTGTGAGGTTATAGTAGTGTGTAGAGTCATAGTGGTCTGTGAGGTCATAGTGGTCTGTGAGGTTATAGTAGTGTGTGGAGTCATAGTGGTCTGTGAGGTTATAGTAGTGTGTAGAGTCATAGTGGTCTGTGAAGTCATAGTGGTCTGTGAGGTCAGAGTGGTCTGTGAGGTCATAGTAGTGTGTGGAGTCATAGTGGTCTGTGAGGTTATAGTAGTGTGTAGAGTCATAGTGGTCTGTGAGGTCATAGTGGTCTGTGAGGTTATAGTAGTGTGTGGAGTCATAGTGGTCTGTGAGGTTATAGTAGTGTGTAGAGTCATAGTGGTCTGTGAGGTTATAGTAGTGTGTGGAGTCCCAGAGGTCATAGTAGTGTGTGGAGTCCCAGAGGTCACAGTAGTGTGTGGAGTCAAAGTAGTCTGTGATGTTATAGTAGTGTGTGGAATCAGAGAGGTCATAGTAGTCTGTGAAGTCATAGTCGTCTGTGAGGTCATAGTGGTCTGTGAGGTTATAGTAGTGTGTGGAGTCATAGTGGTCTGTGAGGTCATAGTAGTGTGTGGAGTCATAGTGGTCTGTGAGGTTATAGTAGTGTGTAGAGTCATAGTGGTCTGTGAGGTCATAGTGGTCTGTGAGGTTATAGTAGTGTGTGGAGTCATAGTGGTCTGTGAGGTCATAGTAGTGTGTGGAGTCATAGTGGTCTGTGAGGTTATAGTAGTGTGTAGAGTCATAGTGGTCTGTGAGGTCATAGTGGTCTGTGAGGTTATAGTAGTGTGTGGAGTCATAGTGGTCTGTGAGGTTATAGTAGTGTGTAGAGTCATAGTGGTCTGTGAAGTCATAGTGGTCTGTGAGGTCAGAGTGGTCTGTGAGGTCATAGTAGTGTGTGGAGTCATAGTGGTCTGTGAGGTTATAGTAGTGTGTAGAGTCATAGTGGTCTGTGAGGTCATAGTGGTCTGTGAGGTTATAGTAGTGTGTGGAGTCATAGTGGTCTGTGAGGTTATAGTAGTGTGTAGAGTCATAGTGGTCTGTGAAGTCATAGTGGTCTGTGAGGTCATAGTGGCCTGTGAGGTTATAGTAGTGTGTGGAGTCATAGTGGTCTGTGAGGTTATAGTAGTGTGTGGAGTCATAGTGGCCTGTGAGGTTATAGTAGTGTGTGGAGTCATAGTGGTCTGTGAGGTCATAGTAGTGTGTGGAGTCATAGTGGTCTGTGAGGTCATAGTGGTCTGTGGGGTCATAGTAGTGTGTGGAGTCATAGTGGTCTGTGAGGTCATAGTAGTGTGTGGAGTCATAGTGGTCTGTGAGGTTATAGTAGTGTGTAGAGTCATAGTGGTCTGTGAGGTTATAGTAGTGTGTGGAGTCCCAGAGGTCATAGTAGTGTGTGGAGTCCCAGTAGTGTGTGGAGTCATAGTGGTCTGTGAGGTCATAGTAGTGTGTGGAGTCATAGTGGTCTGTGAGGTTATAGTAGTGTGTAGAGTCATAGTGGTCTGTGAGGTCATAGTGGTCTGTGAGGTCATAGTGGTCTGTGAGGTTATAGTAGTGAGTGGAGTCATAGTGGTCTGTGAGGTTATAGTAGTGTGTAGTCATAGTGGTCTGTGAAGTCATAGTGGTCTGTGAGGTCATAGTGGTCTGTGAGGTCATAGTAGTGTGTGGAGTCATAGTGGTCTGTGAGGTTATAGTAGTGTGTAGAGTCATAGTGGTCTGTGAGGTCATAGTGGTCTGTGAGGTTATAGTAGTGTGTGGAGTCATAGTGGTCTGTGAGGTTATAGTAGTGTGTAGAGTCATAGTGGTCTGTGAAGTCATAGTGGTCTGTGAGGTCATAGTGGCCTGTGAGGTTATAGTAGTGTGTGGAGTCATAGTGGTCTGTGAGGTTATAGTAGTGTGTAGAGTCATAGTGGTCTGTGAGGTTATAGTAGTGTGTGGAGTCATAGTGGTCTGTGAGGTTATAGTAGTGTGTAGAGTCATAGTGGTCTGTGAGGTTATAGTAGTGTGTAGAGTCATAGTGGTCTGTGAGGTTATAGTAGTGTGTAGAGTCATAGTGGTCTGTGAGGTTATAGTAGTGTGTGGAGTCCCAGAGGTCATAGTGGTCTGTGAGGTTATAGTAGTGTGTGGAGTCATAGTGGTCTGTGAGGTCATAGTGGTGTGTGGAGTCCCAGAGGTCATAGTGGTCTGCGAGGTTATAGTAGTGTGTGGAGTCATAGTGGTCTGTGAGGTTATAGTAGTGTGTAGAGTCATAGTGGTCTGTGAAGTCATAGTGGTCTGTGAGGTCATAGTGGTCTGTGAGGTCATAGTAGTGTGTGGAGTCATAGTGGTCTGTGAGGTTATAGTAGTGTGTAGAGTCATAGTGGTCTGTGAGGTCATAGTGGTCTGTGAGGTCATAGTAGTGTGTGGAGTCATAGTGGTCTGTGAGGTTATAGTAGTGTGTAGAGTCATAGTGGTCTGTGAAGTCATAGTGGTCTGTGAGGTCATAGTGGTCTGTGAGGTTATAGTAGTGTGTGGAGTCATAGTGGTCTGTGAGGTTATAGTAGTGTGTAGAGTCATAGAGGTCTGTGAGGTCATAGTGGTCTGTGAGGTCATAGTGGTCTGTGAGGTTATAGTAGTGTGTGGAGTCATAGTGGTCTGTGAGGTTATAGTAGTGTGTAGAGTCATAGTGGTCTGTGAAGTCATAGTGGTCTGTGAGGTCATAGTGGTCTGTGAGGTTATAGTAGTGTGTAGAGTCATAGTGGTCTGTTGTGTCATAGTGGTCTGTGAGGTCATAGTGGTCTGTGAGGTTATAGTAGTGTGTGGAGTCATAGTGGTCTGTGAGGTTATAGTAGTGTGTAGAGTCATAGTGGTCTGTGAGGTTATAGTAGTGTGTGGAGTCATAGTGGTCTGTGAGGTTATAGTAGTGTGTGGAGTCATAGTGGTCTGTGAGGTTATAGTAGTGTGTAGAGTCATAGTGGTCTGTGAGGTTATAGTAGTGTGTGGAGTCATAGTGGTCTGTGAGGTTATAGTAGTGTGTAGAGTCATAGTGGTCTGTGAGGTTATAGTAGTGTGTAGAGTCATAGTGGTCTGTGAGGTTATAGTAGTGTGTAGAGTCATAGTGGTCTGTGAGGTTATAGTAGTGTGTAGAGTCATAGTGGTCTGTGAGGTTATAGTAGTGTGTGGAGTCCCAGAGGTCATAGTAGTGTGTGGAGTCCCAGAGGTCACAGTAGTGTGTGGAGTCAAAGTAGTCTGTGATGTTATAGTAGTGTGTGGAATCAGAGAGGTCATAGTAGTCTGTGAAGTCATAGTCGTCTGTGAGGTCAAAGTAGTTTGTGAAGTCACAGAGGTCTGTGTGGTCACTGTATGAAGTCATAGTAGTCTGTGAAGTGACAGTGATCTGTGTGGTCAGTACAGTGAGACCTCGGATATCCAGACACATTCGTTTGTACGTAAATTGTCCGGATAATTGAATTTCCGGATATCTGGATTTTGGGTTTTCATACACCTCAAGGAAAATCCAAAATGTTTATGATCATCAAGCGTTTATTGTACATGTATAGACATTCAAAAACAGCAACACAACATAAGAATCGTCTGGTGTGCTGACTAGGTTAGGTTAGTAGGTTAGTAGGTTGACTAGCCATTTGTGATCAATTGAAAGACCAACTGACTTGAATATCGACACACTGCACTTTTATTGCTTTGACTGAATAAACAACAGTTAGAACTCAATGGTTAACTCAGTGCCAGCTAGGCCTTCTAATCACCACCAATACCTTGATGATCATTAATCCGGATTAGCCGACCATGTCTCGTGTCAAAACACGTGGGACTCTTGCACTTCACTTCACACGGTTAGCGGTAGATCAAAGCTTCGTGCGGATAGGTGAGTCAATTTTGTGTTGATTTAGCCGGTTTGTTTGTAAAATGTAATGGAAATGGAAACCGAATATCCGTTATAGACAGTCACTTCTATAACGTAAGTGATTGGTTTTTTCTAAAAATTGACCGGAAGGCGAGGTTTCCGGATATCTGGGGTCCGTATATCCGAGGTCTCACTTTATATGAAGCCATAGTGGCCTGTGAGGTCATAGTTAACTGTGTAGTCATAGTTGTATGTGTGGTCAGCATATGAAGTCATAGTGGTCTGTGAGGTCATAGTTAACTGTGTAGTCATAGTTGTATGTGTGGTCAGCATATGAAGTAATAGTGGTCTGTGAGGTCATAGTTAACTGTGTAGTCATAGTAGTCCATAAAAATCATAGAAGTCCGTGAGGTTATAGTGGAGTGAGGTCATAATAGTTTGTGAAGTCATGGAAGTCTGTGAGGTCATTGTGTCTGTGCACTCAGTGCAGTTGGTGTGTCTTAGTGGTATCAAAGCAGAATTGTTCCAGGTTTAGCAACATAATGATCAGTGAGAGAGTTTGGTTTGACACCGCTTCTAACAGTTTGGTATCAGACTGTACTCCCCACGAGTTGAGGATCCTTAATTGCTACTTGTTGAAATCATGAAAGACATGTCAAATTTGATTGGAAGGTTTGTTTCAGCATCATGTTGTTCATCCCAGGTGAACACTGTTCAATGTGGACCCACCTGTTGTGCCAGAGCCTCCATGGGGGCCACGTACACACATCGGCCGTCAGGAGTCTGGGACAGCATCCTCAGGATGGCAAACTCCCCACAGATGGTCTTGCCACTGCCAGTAGGGGCTCCAATGAAGACATTGTCGTCACTGTTGTAGATGGAGTTGAACACTGGAGAAGAAGGAGATTGTAGCCAGAAAATGAAAACACCTCAACACTAGAGGCACTTGTGAACAATGTAAGTATTGACACAATCGCTCATAAAAAGGCATAAAGACATAAGAAATTTCTAAACGCTTTGGCAGTCAACTGAGTGGTTTCAGGATGCATTCAGAACCAGTGTTCCTGTTATAGCCTGAGGAGGTAAGGAGGATCACCAATGACCAATTCGGGCGTCCATTTTTGTATAAGCCGCTGTGGTCAAGTGGGCTAGATCGCAGGCAATTAGGTGCCTGACCCTAGGAATGTGCGCTCGAATCCCAGATGGGACATAAGTGCCAAAAGTACTAGATTAAGTTAGGCAGATTACTCACCAGAGACCTCTGTGAATCTCTCTAGTTTTGAACTGTTTGTTAAACCATTAGAATCTGTAATATGTTTTAGATGTTTTTCTGTAAAACGCATGTAACTTCTTATCATATCTATGAATATATATTTTGGGCCAATGGGAATAAAACCTATTATTGAATAAAACGTCTGTCTGTCTGTCTGTCTGAGTAATCTTGGGAACTCTTGAAGTCACAACTTTGAAGCCAGAAACTACCTTGTGTCTGTATGGGGTTGAAGAAGGGGAACTTGTCACTGTAGAGACTCTCAAACGCAGAGTTCCGGAGGGCGGAGACAGGGAGGGGCTGCAGGTCCAGCAGCTCGGTGGGGGGCGGGTACTTCTCAGGGAGGATCAGATGGCGGAATGACACCGGCAGCTGAGTCTCACACCCTGAAAAGGAGAAACTCATGCATATCTCAGGCTTGTCAGTACTCACATCATTAACAGTGTGGTTCTCAATGTTGAAACACAAAACAATCATAATACGTTGACAATCAATGTTTACCCATAATGGAGAGAATAACAGGTCTCAAGTTGTGTCTACGATGACTGATTACTTTACAACAGGCAACATAGGCCAACTTAAGGTCCCAAATTATCGATAACAACATCCAACAATTATAATCACAAATTTTCCTTCCATATCAGTCAAAGAAAAGCAATTCTAGTACTTTGGCAGTTCACTGATAACTGGTTGAAGACATGCGATATTAAAGGTGTTCCAAATATCACATACCTATCCACTTGTCTGACACAACCCTGATGAAGTACTGTGGGGGAAGAGGCTCAAACACTGGCACAAAGAACTTCACCACATGTTCATCTTGGGAAAACTTGCTGTAAACAGAAAGCACCTGATTACTTACATAGTTCTCTACATTGATGCTACAGCACTATGATAGGAAGGGACACCAAGCATGGGTTTCGCCCTGGCCAGCATGGGAAGTCAAGTCAAGCACTATGATAGGAAGGGACACCACGCATGGGTCTCGCCCTGACCAGCATGAGAAATCAAATCAAGCACTATGATAGGAAGGGACACCAAGCATGGGTCTCGCCCTGACCAGCATGGGAAGTCAAATCAAGTTTTAGCATGAGTAGTGAACACTTTAACCAAAGGCCTTTCTCAGTACAGCCTTTTTCGTTGTTTTGAATATTCCAACTATACAAGGGCTGTGTATGCAATCATATCTTGACCAGACAATCCAATGATTGATATTATGAAGACTGATTCATGCTGTCGAGATACAATGACACTCGATCAACCAAATCACAAAGTCTGACCACCTGGTCCAATTTGTCTTCTCATGTCCTGCAAAGGTTGCTGGTAACCTATTCTAACCAATAAATGTTGTTCCGACAAGACAGCAGAGACAATGACTTCACACTTACCTCTTCAGGAGGAAGTACTCGTGGTGCAGGATAACCTCGCTGTCTACATCCTCAATCAGGATCCAGAATGCCTGAAACCAGAATCATAACATCATTCACACATTGTAATCTAGCCTTGGATCTAGTTACATACATTGTCCCCTAGTCTTGCATCTAGTCACACACATTATACACTAACCTTGCACCTAGTTATACACACAGTATTCTTGCCTTGTACCTAGTTATACACACAGTACTCTAGCCTTGGACCTAGTTACACACACAGTACTCTAGCCTTGGACCTAGTTACACACATTGAAATCTAGCCTTGGACCTAGTTACACACACAGTACTCTAGCCTTGGACCTAGTTACACACTTTGTAATCTAGCCTTAGAACTAGTTACACACATTGTAATCTAGCCTTGGACCTAGTTACACACACAGTACTCTAGCCTTGGACCTAGTTACACACTTTGTAATCTAGCCTTAGAACTAGTTACACACATTGTAATCTAGCCTTGGACCTAGTTACACACACAGTACTCTAGCCTTGGACCTAGTTACACACATTGTAATCTAGCCTTGGACCTAGTTACACACATTGTACTATGGCCTTGTATGTAGTTACACACATTGTAATCTAGCCTTGTACCAAGATAGAAACATTGTACTCCAGCCTTGTATGTAGTTACACACATTGTACTCTAGCCTTGTATGTAGTTACACACATTGTACTCTAATCTTGGACCTAGTTACATATATTGGACTCTAGCCTTGGACCTAGTTCAAGTAGACCTTGTATACATTGTACTCTAGCCTTGTACCAAGATAGAAACATTGTACTCTAGCCTTGGATCTAGTTACACACATTGTACTATGGCCTTGTATGTAGTTACACACATTGTACTCTGACCTTGGATCTAGTTACACACATTGTACTCCAGCCTTGTAGGTAGTTACACACATTGTACTATGGCCTTGTAGGTAGTTACACACATTGTATTCTAGTCCTGTACCAAGTTACACAAAAAGTGATACACTCAAAAATGAAAAACATTCCACAGCAAGAGATAACACATGTCTGTTTGACAGAAGAGCCAAATGTGTTACTAATGATGAATCTTCTGTTACTGTTCTGAAAATAATGCTGTATAAACTATGACTTCACTCAGTGATATACTGAACATAGTGACGGTTTTACAAGTATACATGGTACACTATTTCCTCATTGAAAGAAACATACAATCTAAGTGGCCCTGGTTTGAGGCAAAATAGCATAGCAGGTGCATGGATGTGATGGATGTGGGTGGAGAGAGGCAGCTTCTCACCTCAGAGCCGCCGTGCAGTTTCTCCTCCCACTGGAAGTCTGGTGTGATGGTCAGCTCAATACGGAGGGTGGACCGCGTGATGGGCTGGATGTGGACGGACAAGTCCAGCTTGGGGAACTGGTGGATGTACTTGTGAATGGTCTTTCCCATCTTTGGCATACGGATGAGTTCAGCTATCTCATTGTGGTTCAGATCATACAGACGTTCGAAAGGGAAGTTCTTCTTCTCAATCTTCTTGATGGCCTCCTCTGGGATCTTGCGGAACTGACGAAGTGGAGACATTGACTGCCACCTTCAAGTACATAAATTAACCTTACTTTCACCATGGATTCAAATTACAAGCTACTCTATTGTCATGAACATTTAATCAGAATATGGCTACACTGCCTTGATGTTTCCCTACGTGTCAGTTTATGAAGTGATGGAAACAATCACAACAGACCTATAAGCCTGCCAGACTCATCAGCATAGATGAACGATACATTTACAGATTACTTAACACACTTAAATGACATGGTTTCTACTTGCATGTACTTACATCCTCTTGTCCACCATCTTGCAGAGAGCTAGGCACTTGTCAGCAAGCTGGGCCCAGCCTCTGTGAAGCACAATCTCAAAGATAGATCTGATCACGACCCGCCGACTGTGTGATGAACACCATGTCAGCCATCAGTGCTAGTCCCTCAAGCTTCAGCTGGGAGATGTAGGCCTGTAGCAGGACGTTCACCTGAAGACAGATCACAGGTGTAGTCAGTTCCATATCTCATCTCTGATTACCTGAACACAGCTGTAATCAGCTCCCTAACTCACCTCAAGCCAGATCTCAGTTCACCAGTTCCCTACATCTGATGAACTGTTGGTATTTTCTGGAAGTTCATCTCAACACAAACTATTTCCTCATTTAATCTTACCTGTCAGTAACATCTGTGACATATCTGTGATACACATAATGGTAACAGCTTGGTCTACCTGTGTTAATCTGTGAGATGATAAACATATCTGTGATGCACTTGATGGTAACAGATGGGTCTACCTGTGATACACCTGATGGTAACAGCTTGGTCTACCTGTGATACACCTGGTGGTAACAGATGGATCTACCTGTGATGCTCCTTATGGTAACAGATGGGTCTACCTGTGATGCTCCTTATTGTAACAGATGGGTATATCTGTGATACACCTGATGGTAACAGCTGGATCTACCTGTGGTGCACCTTATGGTAACAGATGGGTCTACCTGTGATGCTCCTTATGGTAACAGATGGGTCTACCTGTGATACACCTGATGGTGACAGCTGGGTCTACCTGTGATGCTCCTGATTGTAACAGCTGCGTCTACCTGTGATGCACCTGATGGTAACAGATGGGTCTACTTGTTATGCTCCTTATGGTTACAGCTGGGTCTACCTGTGATACACCTGATGGTAACAGATGGGTCTACCTGTGATGCTCCTTATGGTTACAGCTGGGTCTACCTGTGATGCTCCTTATGGTAACAGATGGGTCTACTTGTGATACACCTGATGGTAACAGATGGGTCTACCTGTGATGCTCCTTATGGTAACAGCTGGGTCTACTTGTGATACACCTGACGGTAACAGATGGGTCTACCTGTGATGCTCCTTATGGTAACAGATGGGTCTACTTGTGATACACCTGATGGTAACAGATGGGTCTACCTGTGATGCTCCTTATGGTAACAGATGGGTCTACTTGTGATGCTCCTTATGGTAACAGATGGGTCTACCTGTGATACACCTGATGGTAACAGATGGGTCTACTTGTGATGCTCCTTATGGTAACAGCTGGGTCTACCTGTGATACACCTGATGGTAACAGATGGGTCTACCTGTGATGCTCCTGATGGTAACAGATGGGTCTACCTGTGATGCTCCTTATGGTTACAGCTGGGTCTACTTGTGATACACCTGATGGTGATAGATGGGTCTACCTGTGATGCTCCTTATGGTAACAGATGGGTCTACCTGTGATACACCTGATGGTAACAGCTGGGTCTACCTGTGATGCTCCTTATGGTAACAGATGGGTCTACCTGTGATGCTCCTTATGGTAACAGATGGGTCTACTTGTGATGCTCCTTATGGTAACAGATGGGTCTACCTGTGATGCTCCTTATGGTTACAGCTGGGTCTACCTGTGATACACCTGATGGTAACAGGTTGGTCTACCTGTGATGCTCCTTATGGTAACAGATGGGTCTACCTGTGATGCTCCTTATGGTAACAGATGGGTCTACTTGTGATACACCTGATGGTAACAGATGGGTCTACTTGTGATGCTCCTTATGGTAACAGATGGGTCTACTTGTGATGCTCCTTATGGTAACAGATGGGTCTACTTGTGATACACCTGATGGTAACAGATGGGTCTACTTGTGATGCTCCTTATGGTAACAGATGGGTCTACTTGTGATACACCTGGTGGTAACAGATGGGTCTACCTGTGATGCTCCTTATGGTAACAGATGGGTCTACTTGTGATGCTCCTTATGGTTACAGCTGGGTCTACCTGTGATGCTCCTTATGGTGACAGCTGGGTCTACCTGTGATGCTCCTTATGGTTACAGCTGGGTCTACCTGTGATACACCTGATGGTAACAGCTGGGTCTACCTGTGATGCTCCTTATGGTAACAGCTGGGTCTACTTGTGATGCTCCTTATGGTAACAGATGGGTCTACCTGTGATACACCTGATGGTAACAGCTGGGTCTACCTGTGATGCTCCTTATGGTAACAGATGGGTCTACCTGTGATGCTCCTTATGGTAACAGATGGGTCTACTTGTGATGCTCCTTATGGTAACAGATGGGTCTACCTGTGATGCTCCTAATGGTTACAGCTGGGTCTACCTGTGATGCACCTGATGGTAACAGGTTGGTCTACCTGTGATGCTCCTTATGGTAACAGATGGGTCTACCTGTGATGCTCCTTATGGTAACAGATGGGTCTACTTGTGATGCTCCTTATGGTAACAGATGGGTCTACTTGTGATGCTCCTTATGGTAACAGATGGGTCTACTTGTGATGCTCCTTATGGTAACAGATGGGTCTACTTGTGATACACCTGATGGTAACAGATGGGTCTACTTGTGATGCTCCTTATGGTAACAGATGGGTCTACTTGTGATACACCTGGTGGTAACAGATGGGTCTACCTGTGATGCTCCTTATGGTAACAGATGGGTCTACTTGTGATACACCTGATGGTAACAGATGGGTCTACCTGTGATGCTCCTTATGGTAACAGCTGGGTCTACTTGTGATACACCTGACGGTAACAGATGGGTCTACCTGTGATGCTCCTTATGGTAACAGATGGGTCTACTTGTGATACACCTGATGGTAACAGATGGGTCTACCTGTGATGCTCCTTATGGTAACAGATGGGTCTACTTGTGATGCTCCTTATGGTAACAGATGGGTCTACTTGTGATACACCTGATGGTAACAGATGGGTCTACCTGTGATGCTCCTTATGGTAACAGATGGGTCTACCTGTGATGCTCCTGATGGTAACAGATGGGTCTACCTGTGATGCTCCTGATGGTAACAGATGGGTCTACCTGTGATGCTCCTTATGGTTACAGTTGGGTCTACTTGTGATACACCTGATGGTGACAGATGGGTCTACCTGTGATGCTCCTTATGGTAACAGATGGGTCTACCTGTGATACACCTGATGGTAACAGCTGGGTCTACCTGTGATGCTCCTTATGGTAACAGATGGGTCTACCTGTGATGCTCCTTATGGTAACAGATGGGTCTACTTGTGATGCTCCTTATGGTAACAGATGGGTCTACCTGTGATGCTCCTTATGGTTACAGCTGGGTCTACCTGTGATACACCTGATGGTAACAGGTTGGTCTACCTGTGATGCTCCTTATGGTAACAGATGGGTCTACCTGTGATGCTCCTTATGGTAACAGATGGGTCTACTTGTGATGCTCCTTATGGTAACAGATGGGTCTACTTGTGATGCTCCTTATGGTAACAGATGGGTCTACTTGTGATGCTCCTTATGGTAACAGATGGGTCTACTTGTGATACACCTGATGGTAACAGATGGGTCTACTTGTGATGCTCCTTATGGTAACAGATGGGTCTACTTGTGATACACCTGGTGGTAACAGATGGGTCTACCTGTGATGCTCCTTATGGTAACAGATGGGTCTACTTGTGATGCTCCTTATGGTAACAGATGGGTCTACCTGTGAAACACCTGATGGTAACAGATGGGTGTATTTGTGATGCTCCTTATGGTAACAGATAGTTCTACCTGTGATGCTCCTTATGGTAACAGATGGGTCCACCTGTGATACACCTGATGGTAACAGATGGGTCTACCTGTGATGCACCTGATGGTAACAGATGGGTCTACCTGTGATGCTCCTTATGGTTACAGCTGGGTCTACTTGTGATGCTCCTTATGGTAACAGATGGGTCTACTTGTGATACACCTGATGGTAACAGATGGGTCTACCTGTGATGCTCCTTATGGTAACAGATGGGTCTACTTGTGATGCTCCTTATGGTTACAGCTGGGTCTACCTGTGATGCTCCTTATGGTGACAGCTGGGTCTACCTGTGATGCTCCTTATGGTTACAGCTGGGTCTACCTGTGATACACCTGATGGTAACAGCTGGGTCTACCTGTGATGCTCCTTATGGTAACAGATGGGTCTACTTGTGATGCTCATTATGGTAACAGATGGGTCTACCTGTGATACACCTGATGGTAAGAGCTGGGTCTACCTGTGATGCTCCTTATGGTAACAGATGGGTCTACCTGTGATGCTCCTTATGGTAACAGATGGGTCTACTTGTGATGCTCCTTATGGTAACAGATGGGTCTACCTGTGATGCTCCTAATGGTTACAGCTGGGTCTACCTGTGATACACCTGATGGTAACAGGTTGGTCTACCTGTGATGCTCCTTATGGTAACAGATGGGTCTACCTGTGATGCTCCTTATGGTAACAGATGGGTCTACTTGTGATGCTCCTTATGGTAACAGATGGGTCTACTTGTGATGCTCCTTATGGTAACAGATGGGTCTACTTGTGATGCTCCTTATGGTAACAGATGGGTCTACTTGTGATACACCTGATGGTAACAGATGGGTCTACTTGTGATGCTCCTTATGGTAACAGATGGGTCTCCTTGTGATACACCTGTGGTAACAGATGGGTCTACCTGTGATGCTCCTTATGGTAACAGATGGGTCTACTTGTGATGCTCCTTATGGTAACAGATGGGTCTACCTGTTAAACACCTGATGGTAACAGATGGGTGTATTTGTGATGCTCCTTATGGTAACAGAAGGGTCTACCTGTGATGCTCCTTATGGTAACAGATGGGTCCACCTGTGATACAGCTGATGGTAACAGATGGGTCTACCTGTGATGCATCTGATGGTAACAGATGGGTCTACCTGTGATGCTCCTTATGGTTACAGCTGGGTCTACTTGTGATGCTCCTTATGGTAACAGATGGGTCTACTTGTGATACACCTGATGGTAACAGATGGGTCTACCTGTGATGCTCCTTATGGTAACAGATGGGTCTACTTGTGATGCTCCTTATGGTTACAGCTGGGTCTACCTGTGATGCTCCTTATGGTGACAGCTGGGTCTACCTGTGATGCTCCTTATGGTTACAGCTGGGTCTACCTGTGATACACCTGATGGTAACAGCTGGGTCTACCTGTGATGCTCCTTATGGTAACAGATGGGTCTACTTGTGATGCTCCTTATGGTAACAGATGGGTCTACCTGTGATACACCTGATGGTAACAGATGGGTCTACCTGTGATGCTCCTTATGGTTACAGATGGGTCTACCTGTGATACACCTGATGGTAACAGATGGGTCTACCTGTGATGCTCCTTATGGTAACAGATGGGTCTACCTGTGATGCTCCTAATGGTAACAGATGGGTCTACCTGTGATGCTCCTTATGGTAACAGATGGGTCTACTTGTGATACACCTGATGGTAACAGATGGGTCTACTTGTGATGCTCCTTATGGTAACAGATGGGTCTACTTGTGATGCTCCTTATGGTAACAGATGGGTCTACCTGTGATGCTCCTTATGGTAACAGATGGGTCTACTTGTGATGCACCTGATGGTAACAGATGGGTCTACCTGTGATGCACCTGATGGTAACAGATGGGTCTACTTGTGATGCTCCTTATGGTAACAGATGGGTCTACTTGTGATACACCTGATGGTAACAGATGGGTCTACCTGTGATGCTCCTTATGGTAACAGATGGGTCTACTTGTGATACACCTGATGGTAACAGATGGGTCTACCTGTGATGCACCTGATGGTAACAGATGGGTCTACTTGTGATACACCTGGTGGTAACAGATGGGTCTACCTGTGATGCTCCTTATGGTAACAGATGGGTCTACCTGAGTGCATCTGGCAGATGGCATGTCTTACCTTGGCACTGGGCTCCTCGATGCTCTCTTTGATGGGGATCGGGACTCTCTCCAGCAGCTTCAACAGCTCAAGCTTCTCCTCCTGAAAATGACAAATCCATGATACATTCAAGACATCCAAATGAATAAGACTATGTGTCAATGCTGCCTCTGGCAATATTCCAGTAACATCACAGCAAAGATCATCAAGCATGACTTCCACACAGTTGGAAGCTGTTATGCAGGATGAATACCACCCATTTCCCAATAACTGTGTACCACCACCCACTACCCCACGACTGTGTACCACCACCCTCTATCTAACAACTGTGCACCACCACCACTACCCCACAACTGTGCACCACCACCCACTACCCCACAACTGTGCACCACCACCCTCTACCCCACAACTGTGCACCACAACCCACTACCCCACAACTGTGTACCACCACCCACTACCCCACGACTGTGCACCACCACCACCCACTACCCCACAACTGTGCACCACCACCACCCACTACCCCACAACTGTGCACCACCACCCTCTACCCCACAACTGTGCACCACAACCCACTACCCCACAACTGTGCACCACCACCCTCTACCCCACGACTGTGCACCACCACCACCCACTACCCCACGACTGTGCACCACCACCACCCACTACCCCACAACTGTGCACCACCACCACCCCACAACTGTGTACCACCACCCTCTACCCCACAACTGTGTACCACCACCCTCTACCCCACAACTGTGTACCACTACCCACTACCCCACAACTGTGTACCACCACCCTCTACCCCACAACTGTGTACCACCACCCTCTACTCCCACAACTGTGCACCACCACCACCACCTCTCCCCACAACTGTGTACCACCACCACCCACTACTCCCACAACTGTGTACCACCACCCTCTACTCCCACAACTGTGTGTACCACCACCTCTACCCCACAACTGTGTCACCACCACCCACTACCCCCACAACTGTGCACCACCACTACACACACTGTGTGCCACCGCCCACTCCCACAACTGTGCACCACCACCTCTACCCCACAACTGTGCACCACCACCCACTACCCCACAACTGTGCACCACCACCACCCACCACTCCCACAACTGTGCACCACCACCACCCACTACCCCACAACTGTGCACCACCACCACCCACTACCCCACAACTGTGCACCACCACCCACTACCCCACAACTGTGTACCCACCACCCACTACTCCCACAACTGTGCCACCACAACCCACTACTACCCCCCACAACTGTGCACCACCACCTCTACTCCCACAACTGTGTACCACCACCACCCACTACCCCACAACTGTGCACCACCACCCCACTCACCCACAACTGTGCACCACCACCACCCACTACCCCACAACTGTGTACCACCACCCTCTACCCCACAACTGTGCACCACCACCCACTACCCCACAACTGTGCACCACCACCCTCTACCCCACAACTGTGTACCACCACCCACTACCCCACAACTGTGCACCACCACCCTCTACCCCACAACTGTGCACCACCATCCTCTACCCCACAACTGTGCACCACCACCCACTACCCCACAACTGTGCACCACCACCCTCTACCCCACAACTGTGTACCACCACTCTCTACCCACAACTGTGCAACCACCACCTCTACCCCACAACTGTGCACCACCACCCTTCTACCCCACAACTGTGTACCACCACCCACTACTCCCACAACTGTGCACCACCACCTCTACCCCACAACTGTGCACCACCATCCTCTACTCCCACAACTGTGCACCACCACCCACTACCCCACAACTGTGCACCACCACCCTCTACCCCACAACTGTGTACCACCACCCTCTACCCCACAACTGTGCACCACCACCACCCTCTACCCCACAACTGTGCACCACCACCCTCTACCCCACAACTTTGCACCACCACCCTCTACCCCACAACTGTGCACCACCACCCACTACCCCACAACTGTGTACCACCACCCACTACCCCACAACTGTGCACCACCACCACCCACTACCCCACAACTGTGCACCACCATCCTCTACCCCACAACTGTGCACCACCACCCACTACCCCACAACTGTGCACCACCACCCACTACCCCACGACTGTGCACCACCACCACCCACTACCCCACAACTGTGTACCACCACAACCCACTACCGTGCACAACCACCTACACACCTTTTCAGATGCACTCATATTGCAAGTCTTTAAATCAAATACTTTTGTGTTACAAATCGTTTACCGAGACTCGTGCTAATGAATTGGAGAACATACCTCTCGGACAGTGAGGTTCCTGAACTCTGAAGAGAGGGAGAACACCCTGAACAGCTCAATCTCACTCAGAGTGGGCTTCAACAGCTGGTTGTAAGTGGCGATGGTCTCATGTGTCAGGTAGTACTGACTGGCAATTCGCCCCAGTTCTGTCACCTGTAAACACAGACAGCGCAGAGTATAGCTGCAGTCTACAAACATCCTGAAAACTCTGAACCTGATTCGTGATGCCTATCAAGATGGTGATTCCACCCTATTGTCATTATGATTGAGATCAATATTTAAGTAAATGAAAACAATTCCTGCCCCTAATATAGCAACATAAACATCTAAAAACTCACAAAATCTAGTGTTTTTTACAACAGCAATGCAACTCTTTAGTAAACTAATACCAAGCTGGTAGGATGGTACACAACCTCAACAGTACTGCACACGATTCATACATGATTCAATGTTGTCCTACTACAACTTCCTGTCAGTATTTCATGACTCAGTCTATGTCACCAGTAATAGCTCTAACAGATGACTCCCTAATAACAGGGAACTAGCACCTAACAAGACATCTAACAGACTTATTCACCTGAAAGTTGCCCATTTTCTTCTCATACTTTACTATGTTGTGTCTGTCTAGCAGCGTGGCGGCAGTGTGGATGAGGTCTTTGCGACGTTGCTGCAGCAGTGGGTCTTCCTTCACCATGTCGTCTGAGATGCCATACAGCGGAGGGTTACGCAGCATACGGATGTACAGATACGTGTAACCTGGAATGTTGTCACATTTAGCACCAGAAGCCAGACATACCATGCTACAGATACGTCATGTGACTTTAACATTCTAGCGCCTCACAGGCAGCTTGGGTTATCTGGGGTAATAATCAGATTCTGATTACAGCCTCCCGTGAGCAACTAGTCATGCAGTGCTGTATTATGTCGTACTAGTAGCTGGAGGTGAGGAGATACCGCCAAACTTGTAGACACAGTGGTATTCTGTGATTATTCCTGTGATGCCACTGTTTAAATGACATGGTAGTGTTTACCCTTCCACATCACACCTCTACAGGTGTCCAAGCTTTTCACAAAATTCATTTCTGAAAGTGGGCCAACACCTATCTGAACAAGGGCAAACATGTTTTATGATTTTCAACAAGTTTTTGACCTCACTATTTGACCAATCCAGGGAACGGCAGTCACATGATCACAATTCCAAGGAAGCAATCAGCATAGATACCTCAGTATATTCCATGATTAATGCTGATTATTGTTTTTGCTCAAGATACAAGCCATATAGTATATGATTGACATGTTTGTTACTTAAGCCTTCTTCATATTGTATGTTTGTTTAAATCATATCTCGCACCAAGTCAAAAAGGTGCACCAATTCAACTTTATTTGCATGAAATTTGAATTTTCAATTAGTAAGAAGACATGACACAGCTGCATACTAAACACTCATACTAATCAATCTAGTCAATGGCCTTCATGTGTTATTCTCCGAACACTAAAGACTCACCGATCCAGTCGATGGCCTCCTTCATGTTTTGTACAGTGCCCAGAACCACCTCAGCATTCAGGTTGTCTGCCAGTTTACTCACAAACTGGCTCTCAATAGGAAGCTGCAACAAACACATTAGGGGATGTCTCAAGGGGTCTGAATGGCATTAAAACTTTAGAAAAAAATCACACTGAAATCTCTATTAATGGTTACTTTCTTTTCAGCTCCAGGTTGCGGCCATGGAGTTTAGAGAACACAGATACTGAGAGAATCTTTCTTAATGTGGGGGAAAGCCTGACTGTAAAGTTTCACCCTGTGAAGGCCCTGGGCAGTGGTCTTGATGTTAACAGATCATGGATTATAATTGGGTAAGACCTGAGATTCAAATCCACAATGGTTTGAGCTGCCTATATCTGCAATATTACCTGTTGGTTCATGAGGGACAGGTAGTACTGAAGCTCGCTGTGGTTGGTGATCATAATGCCTTCACCCTTCGTGTCATACTGAGGACGACCTGCTCGGCCCAACATCTGAAAGGAAATCAAAACATTTCTTGATGTTGTTGTTTCTTCATGAGGGTAAGCCAGACATGATTAAAACAAAAAGCTTTCATATACTCTACACTAACAACGAACACTGACAGACTGCACTCCATGTATCTCCCCTCATCTGCATGACGGCAAGAGTACTGAGCTCCACCCGTATCCCCCTCACCTGCATGACGTCAAGAGTACTGAGCTCCACCCATTTCCCCCTCACCTGCATGACGTCAAGAGCACTGAGCTCCACCCATTTCCCCCTCATCTGCTTGACGTCAAGACTACTGAGCTCCACCCATTTCCCCCTCACCTGCATGACGTCAAGAGCACTGAGCTCCACCCATTTCCCCCTCATCTGCATGACGTCAAGACTACTGAGCTCCACCCATATCCCCCTCATCTGCATGACGTCAAGAGCACTGAGCTCCACCCATTTGCCCCTCACCTGCATGACGTCAAGACTACTGAGCTCCACCCATTTGCCCCCTCACCTGCATGACGTCAAGAGCACTGAGCTCCACCCATTTCCCCCTCACCTGCATGACGTCAAGAGCACTGAGCTCCACCCATTTCACCTGCATGACGCCAAGACTACTGAGCTCCACCCATTTCCCCTCACCTGCATGACATCAAGACTAGTGAGCTCCACCCATTCCCCCCCTCACCTGCATGACGTCAAGACTACTGAGCTCCACCCATTTCCCCCTCACCTGCATGACGTCAAGACTACTGAGCTCCACCCATTTGCCCCTCACCTGCATGACGTCAAGACTACTGAGCTCCACCCATTTCCCCCTCACCTGCATGACGTCAAGACTAGTGAGCTCCACCCATTTCCCCCTCACCTGCATGACGTCAAGACTACTGAGCTCCACCCATTTCCCCCTCACCTGCATGACATCAAGACTACTGAGCTCCACCCATTTCCCCCTCACCTGCATGACGTCAAGACTACTGAGCTCCACCCATTTCCCCTCACCTGCATGACGTCAGAGAGCACTGAGCTCCACCCATTTCCCCCTCACCTGCATGACGTCAAGAGCACTGAGCTCCACCCATTTCCCCCTCACCTGCATGACGTCAAGACTACTGAGCTCCACCCATTTCCCCCTCACCTGCATGACGTCAAGAGCACTGAGCTCCACCCATTTCCCCCTCACCTGCATGACATCAAGACTACTGAGCTCCACCCATTTCCCCTCACCTGCATGACATCAAGACTACTGAGCTCCACCCATTTCCCTCACCTGCATGACATCAAGAGCACTGAGCTCCACCCATTTCCCCTCACCTGCATGACATCAAGATTTCCCCCTCATACTCAAGAGCTGAGCTCCACCCATTTCCCCTCACCTGCATGACGCCAAGAGCACTGAGCTCCACCCATTTCCCTCACCTGCATGACGCCAAGATCACGAGCATGACGCCAAGACTACTGAGCTCCACCCATTTCCCCTCACCTGCATGGACGCCAAGATTTCCCCTACTGAGCTCCACCCACCCCCTCATCTGCATGACGCCAAGACTACTGAGCTCCACCCATTTGCCCCCCTCACCTGCATGACGCCAAGACTACTGAGCTCCACCCATTCCCCCCTCACCTGCATGACGCCAAGACACTGAGCTCCACCCATTTCCTCACCCTCACCTGCATGACGTCCCACTACTGAGCTCCACCCACTGATGACATCAAGACTACTGAGCTCCACCCACCCCCTCACCTGCATGACATCAAGACTACTGAGCTCCACCCATTTCCCCTCACCTGCATGACGCCAAGACTACTGAGCTCCACCCATTTCCCCCTCACCTGCATGACGAGCCAAGACTGAGCTCCACCCATTTCCCCTCACCTGCATGACACACCTGATGATGTCACCAGCTCCACCCTCACCTGCATGACATCAAGAATACCCCTCCACCCTGCTAACCTGCATGACGCCATGAGCACTGAACTCCACCCATCTCCCCTCACCTGCATGACGCCAAGAGCACTGAGCTCCACCCATTTCCCTCACTTGCATGACATAGAGAGCACTGAACTCCACCCATCTTCCTCTCACCTGCATGACATAGAGAGCACTGAGCTCCAACCATCTCCTCTCACCTGCATGTCATGAAGGCAAGAGCACTGAGCTCCAACCATCTCCCCCTCACCTGCATGACATAGAGAGCACTGAGCTCCAACCATCTCCCCCTCACCTGCATGACATAGAGAGCACTGAACTCCACCCATCTCCCTCTCACCTGCATGACATAGAGAGCACTGAGTTCCACCCATCTCCCTCTCACCTGCATGACAGAGAGCACAGAGCTCCACCCATCTCCCCCTCACCTGCATGACATAGAGAGCACTAAGCTCAACCCATCGGCCCCTCACCTGCATGACATCGAGAGCACTGAGCTCCACCCATCGGCCCTTGTCCGGACTGTAGATTTGTGTTCCCTTGATGATGACAGTGTGTGCTGGGAGGTTGACACCCCACGCCAAGGTCGATGTTGACACAAGTACTTGTATATGTCGGTCAACAAACAGATCCTCCACAAGTGCTCGATCAACTCTGAAACATAATCACATCTGTTAAAGCCAAACATTGAGAGGTTACATTCTTTCAGGGCATCCAGTGTAACCATTTGTCTATAGATCACGACTTCCCCAGTATTTTCCCCAGAAACAGAACATTTACTGCCCCAAATATTGATGACAAATGACTCTTTGTGGAGATATTGTACTTTTTCCCATGGATACCTTGACCAACAGACTCAAGCCAGTAGTGGCCCATGCCAGTGTGCTTCCATGCTTCTTCTCACGTACCTGTTCATACCAGCATGGTGGATGGCAAACCCATAAGGCAGGAGGTCTCTCAGCTCATGGTTCTGCAAACAAGGCAACATTCTTAAAAGTGTTGAAACCTTCTTTTTCAACAATGCTTAGAATGAAACCTGACAAGATACAATTCATCAGTACTGCACTAAATGAGAAACCTATGTTATCACTGTTATCGGATTAGTTGCAGTGCAACATGGGTTTCAACTGAACAACTTCCTGAAAATAAATAGTTCATATGCTAAACCACATGCCTATATGTGTCTAAAGTCTCTAAAACCTTGTTGTATACTGAAAACATTACTAAATTATCTAGGACCAATATTTGAACCAAAAAACTGAATGCAAGGATATTTTCAGTAATCCTTATGATGTTAAAAAACATGTTCTCAATAGCCAAAAGGCTCAACCAAAGTCAGTTCCAGGTTCCTTGTTTGTGCAATCTTCTCTTAGACTCTCGGAATGAGCCCTGGGACAGGGAACGCAAGTGCATAAAGACATTCCCAGGATATTACTAGCATATCTACAGTCCACGCCAATACTGTCTAATTTTGATAGGATGGCTTGGATTAGAATGGTGAGATGTTTGTAATGTTCTTAGGGAACATAACACAGAATGTTTCGACTGTTTCCCTCAGGTTAAGGGAGAGAGAAGCAAATAGTAGGAGTCAAGATATCGACAAATATGTAATTTTCTGAATAAATTTGATATTTTATACTTATCCTGACTCATGCTTATTGCTTTATGGAACATAACTTTCAGATTTTCAGTCTGAGTGTCTACGAGTCTCACCTTGACTTGTTCTGCTTCAGACCTGAGGATCTCCGTGGAGGCAGATCCTTCCTTCAGGAAGACTCCAAGAGTATCCTTCTCCAGACACATGTCTCGGATCGCCCTCGCTGTTTTCCCTGTCTCTTTCCTTGAGTGCACAAAAATAAGCAACTGAAAACAGAATGAGTGAGCGGTTAACTTGGACAATTTCCAATATAATACATCAGTTTGTCTGCTTAATATGGCAAGGAAGTCAATAGTGATTAAGTCTTAGATATTACGTATTGTAATCCATATCAACCTGATCCTGTTCTAAGTCACAGTTTGTGGGAGGCCAATTCAGCTATTCATTTCCAGTAAGGTGAAAACAGGTTGAACTGGAGAGGTTTTCAATCATTCTACATGACTAGGGATCAATAGGAATTACCCAGGGCAATCAACTTGAGCATGAAACTAATATACTAAAAAGAAGATTTCTGTAGTCAAGAATACCTAGAAGACTAGGACACAGCTCACAAGTCACCACTAGGGAACAGAATTCATTTGTTTGCTCACCTGGTTTTTGCCAGCATGGTCCATGACCTTCTCATACACAATGTCATTCATGAGCTGGAACCTCTTGACAGCCTTCTTCTCTGTGATACCAATGAACTGCTGCTCCAGCGGCACAGGGCGGAAACTGTTGTCAAAGAAGAACAGGCCCTCCTTGGGATCTACACGGAGGAATGTGGCAACATCTTCAAAGTTTGGCAGAGTGGCGCTTAGTCCAACAAGTCGCACATCTTCCTGGGTAGTCTCTATGTTCCTGATCGTCCTGGCAACTAAAGACTCGAGAACTGGACCTCGGTCATCATGGAGAAGATGGATCTCATCCTGAAGAAGATGAAATAGATGTGGATGGATCAGTAAGTGGGTAAACTAGAATCTCAGTAACATCACGCCAGTTTAATGAAAGAGTACAGAAGCATGTGGTGCTGATTTCCCTGCTATTTTACTGCTTATTAATGGTGCTGAGAAACCATTAGTTCTAATTAGGGTGAATCTGGAATTCAAAACCTGACACTTCTCTCAAGAGAATCAACTCTTCACAATGAAGTTCGGGTCAAGGACTCAAACAAATTTTAGAACACTCACAATTCCAGATATCAAGGTTTGTAAAACCAGATTGTTAAATAACTTAGTTTCATAAATAATTTAAACATATATTCTGGACATTCATAAAATAAACCTTATTTTCTATGTTTGATAACAACTTGATGTGTAGGTATGTCTTCTCAAGTTGTGTAAAGCAATGCTGATTTAGGCCTTCAAGGCAAACTCTCAAACTCAAGGCCTTTTCAAGCCCTAGTTATCAACCTCAACACCCACAGACAAGAAAGGTGTAAAATCTTACAAAGATCATGAGCCTGACAAGCTGTGTGTAGGTCCGCTCCCCACCCTTCCGTGTGATGATGTCCCACTTCTCGGGAGTGCACACAATGATCTGTGTCTGGTAGATTTGCTCTCTGGTTAACTGGTGGTCTCCCGTCAACTCATCCACCTTTATGCCATACGACTTCAGTCTCTGTAACAGCACCAACTCAGATATAAGGCCAAATACAACACCTAAAGGTCCAGTAGGGGGGACTAATTGTAGTGTTAGAAATAGAGCTGATTCATATCCAACGTGACCTGAAATCATGTTAATAGGGCTCAGAAAAGTTAGTTCATATGTCTGGAGTGATTGTTATCTTCTTTTGTGCAGTAGTTGGCAATATCCCAACTTCATCATTTATGAAGTATGCATATCAGAAACTAGTGGATGACCGGGCGAGCCTTAACACAATCAGTCAGGTCACATCTGGGAACCACATTTATGAGACAGCCCTCAAAACAGGATACTGGGGGACTATTTATCCCCTTATCCCCTCTAGGTAGTGTGGACAGATGGTGACTCATGCTTACCTCAGAGAATGTCCCAACCATCTCCTGTACGAGGGATCTCATGGGTGCAACATACACGATCTTGAAGTCGTCTGTGTTGATGGTGTGGTCCTCGTTGACATGATTACCAATCTCCTTGAGGATACACAGCAGGGCTACATTTGTTTTACCAGCTCCCTGAAACAGCACTCATGCATATCACACTGGACACTTCTTCTACTTTCTATGTCTTCTACAATTCTTCTGGCAATTCAAGTGTTCTGTACCTTACATCAAACTGCAATGTTACTCCTAACTTACTTAAAATGACACTGAATACATTGTATGGATAGAAAAACAAAGAGCATTACTTGAAAATAATCTTTCACAGTTTGTAAATATGATTTTTAAACTTCTTTAAGAAGTAATATTATTACATATTTTGGAATGTTCCATTGATAAACCATAACTGCCACAAATTTGTGTGAGAGAGTACCAGTTTCATGAATTAAGGACAAATGAACAGGATTTGACATCATTCAACAACCCTGGAGACACAAGTGACTCACTGTTGGAGCAGAGAGCAGGATGTTCTGGTCCGATTCCATGGCAACTTTACACAGTCGACTCTGGATTCGGTTCAAGCTTTTGAAACCTTCAAATGCAGGTTGGGCATACTTAGGCAGTCGGTCAATTGGAACAAGAGACTGGAAAAAAGAAATTATTGTAAGCAATAAAAACACTTAATGATGTATTCTGTTCAAAACTAGACTAAACAAGATCTTTGGCAGGCATTATAGAAGTCGGATGTGTATCTAACGACAAGACCGGAAGAAGTGCAGAGAAACGTTTAATCATCAATACTATCTTGACATGGTTTGCAAGTTACTGTCTGCTTTGGAGCCATGTTGGCAACAGCTTACCTCATCAGTTTCAAAAGGTTTGGGCTTCAGAGCAGGAACATGAACTTCTTCATAACCTAAAAGAAGTTGGAGAACATTACAGTGATGTTATTTAAAGCATAGTATATTAACAGTTTAGGATAAAATGCAACACAGTTCATATCAACATACTGACAGCTTCCACAGTTCCTACTGATATGGTAATGTGGTTTATTTGATGTAATCACAATTCATGTTATTCATGGACCGCACATGAATCTACAGTCGAGGGATTTTCTCCACTGTGCATGATGTCAGAAGCGAGACTGCAAAGGAAGAACATGTAGGCCCTGAGCTACACCATCCTGGTTACCTTTCCTCTGTTTGCGGTAGGAGCCATCAGGCAGCTGGCATCTCTTGTTGGCCATCAGGTGACTACCTTGGCTGAACATCAGCTCCTCCAGATCCAGAGTCTCCACCTGTCCGATGTCCTAAACAAGCAATGGTGTCAGTCTATGAGAGGCAGTGTTGCTTCAGTCAGAAATATTTTGAACATATCACTGAATGCAATAAAGACCATGAAAACTCTTGTAATCGACAAAATGAGCAAAGCCCAATGTTGCTACACAAACCAATTGAGTCATTTAAGTGTTTACTTCAAACAAAACAAACAATGCCAATGGGATTCAGACTTACAAAGGTCGCTTTTATGAAACCCAAAACCACTTGCTAACAATCCAAAAATAACCAGGACCAAACTGTGTTTCAAAAACAAGAACCTTTGAATTTCGTCCAAGGGACACAACTCTGCAAAGTATAGCTAAATGCAAATTACAATTAAAATATACCACGCAATACCGCTTTGACTGACAATTCAGGCTGAATCTGCGATTTGAAATAAGGGTCATAGAATTCTGTCAGTTGAAGTGGACAACACTGGACCGACCACTGGGCACAGGTACAGTCTTTCTGGAAAGAAACACTCACCACATAGCCATCTATTTCCATGTCCTCTATATCGGCCGCTACTCTGTTTTGTCTGGCCTGCTGTCGACGGGTCCTTTCCTCACTGACGATATCCTCTCGGTCAGTCTCCTGCAGAGAGCTGAGAATGTGCTTCAACTCTGAGTCAGCACGCATCTTCTCTTCTACACGAGCCTTCTCTGACTGGCTCTGAGCTGACGCCAGCAGTGTGCAGTACAAAACTGTACAACATCAAACATACACATATTACAGAAGATAGGGGCAGAAACATTCGGAATGTAATAAATGTTTCTGTCAACAGTTAAGGAGAAAAAATGAAATTCATTTACAAAAATTTATCTGAAGTCTTTTGACACTTATCCCAACTTACTCATCTGCCTGTGTTGGCGGAGAACTCGGATAAACTCAAACTGGTTGACACCAAGTAAGATGACAAGCTGTGTCTCACACTCACGGTCATCGCCAGCAATCTGAAACACAACCACAGGTCCCACATAGAAGCCTTCTCACACCACATGGTCCTTGCCATGAAACAAACACATTCAAATGGCACATAAAACTAAGTTCAAGTGGATTTCTATATTTACTCTGCATCGGACAGAGAATATATCATTGCAATACTCTCAGCAAGGTTACTAGACAGTTCCAAGTGAGTATGCAATGGCTGCTGACAGAGGAATCTACGTAGACATGTCACATTTTCACTTACTTTCAACACTTCCACCACCTCCATTGCCTTGGTCTGAGCTGTGGTAGGGTCATCAGGATAATACTTGCTGAGCTTACGCTGAATCCAAAAGGCGTCAATGTCTCTTGGATGCAAGCCGCCCTCTGACTTGCCCCCAGATTCCTCAGATATCTAGATCACAGGAGGAGAGACATACAGGCCTTCAACTTGGAAAGGAAGATTTTTTATTTTTAGCACCAACAGACACTAAGAATGTGCTTCACCTATTGAGCAGAGCTAGATCCATGATGAACAAAGAGTGATTACTGATGCTGCAACTATACCCATCGCCCTTTAACAAAGGTGAACACATCCCTCAATATCACCTGTATATCTGTATACTTTTATGCAAGCCTGAATTGAGCTAAGCAATCCTATTCTATGCGAAGACGATGAATAGTTATATGGATAAAGTTGTGCACAAGCTGTCCCAACACTCACATTTGCATGTAGAGTGGCGTCCACCGCAGCCTCCTCCCCTTCATTCTCCTGGTCATCCTCCTCCTCCTGGACTTCCCCGTACACGTCTGCAGTGTCCTACAACACACACAGCATTTCACAGATCACACATCAACTTTCAGTCTGTTCCCTGCTTGTTGTTTATTCCCATTTGGAATCTTTGGGGAACACTATCAGGTTATCAATTACATTCACATAACTGTATTTCTGGCGAGTGAAGAGATCAAGGACATATACAACATGCAGTCAAGGTTTTACGTTATAGGAGTGCAATTGATTCACAAAGGCCTCGTAGGGACTGACATTACAACGTTGCAGGTGTAGAACTAATGTGAAATCACAACTAAACTCACAGATACATGGGAGTATGTTACATGACATCATTTCTCAAGGGCTGATATTACAACGTTATAGGTGTACAACTAATGCCAAATCACAACTCTTCTCACAGATACATGGGAGTATGTTACATGACATGTGCATCATTTCTCAAGTGAATGAGTGAGTGAGTGAGTTTAGTTCTACGCCACACTCAGCAATATTCCAGCTATAAGGCAGCGGTCTGTAAATAATTGAGTCTGGACCAGACAATCTAGTGATCAACATCATGAACATCGATCTACGCAATTGGGATACGATGACATGTGTCAACCAAGCCAGCGAGCCTGACCACCCAATCCTATTAGTCGCCTCTTACAACAAGCATGGTTTACTGAAGATCAATTCTTACCCAGATCTTCACGGGTTCATTTCTCAAGGGCTGATATTACAACGTTATAGGCATACAACTAATGCCAAATCACAACTCTTCTCGAAGATACATGGGAGTATGTTACATGACATGTGCATCATTTCTCAGACCAACCTCATCTTCTGATTCTTCAAACTGCACATTGACACCGTAAGTTTCATCAATGTTTTCAGCTGAAACAATAACAGAAACTTAAGAAATAGTTTACATACGTCTTCAAATGATTTCAGTTTATATTGCAAGCCTCTACCGCTCAAAATATACATATGTAGGCCACCTCTTAAATGTAACTGATTGCCTCCTATGATAGAGACAGAGTGTATCTTCCACTGATAACAGATACAGTCATAGACATGACAAAGTTACATAGACATGACAAAGTTACATAGACATGACAAAGTTATATAGTCATGACAGAGTTACATGACAAAGTGACAGTCATGACAAAGTTACATGACAAAGTCACAGTCATGACAAAGTTACATGACAAAGTCAGTCATGACAAAGTTACACAGTCATGACAAAGTTACATAGTCATGACAAAGTTACAGTCATGACAAAGTTACAGTCATGACAAAGTTACAGTCATGACAAAGTTACAGTCATGACAAAGTCATAGTCATGACAAAGTTACAGTCATGACAAAGTTACACAGTCATGACAAAGTCACATAGTCATGACAAAGTTACACAGTCATGACAAAGTTACATAGTCATGACAAAGTTACACAGTCATGACAAAGTTACATAGTCATGACAAAGTTACATAGTCATGACAAAGTTACATAGTCATGACAAAGTTACATAGTCATGACAAAGTTACACAGTCATGACAAAGTTACACAGTCATGACAAAGTTACACAGTCATGACAAAGTTACATAGTCATGACAAAGTTACATAGTGTTACGTGTGGAGAGATCACACAACAATTTAAAATAGTTTTAATACTGGCAGTCTATACATATATACAAATGTGCAAAACAAGTATCATGGTATATGTTAAAAGTCTTACTTTGGTTATCACATGGATATACAATTGTTCCTGCTCCATCACATTCCTCAGAATAATAACACATAGAATCCTTCACATGAAATTCACTTTATGCCAACATGGCATATTCAAGTAGACAGTTTAAACTTGCCGACATGGCCAATCCGTTCAGTTCACTCCCGACCTGGGCACTGATCACTGTGTGTGTTACCTTGCTTGAACAAGTCAAAAACCCAAGCTACAATTATATAACATCGTTGCTGTTTCATTACCCCAGCTTACTTATAGACAATGGAGAGTGGTCACTGGTAAGCATAGCTTCTCAGTTAAGGTGAACAGGTATTCTAGGGAATGTAAATATATTTTAGAATGACTTCAGATTTATAAATATATATACAGAATTATGTATAGATATATAAGACATTCTCATAACAATAGACATGACAAAGTGACATAGTCATGATGAAGTGACATAGTCATGATGAAGTTACATAACAAAGTCACAGTCATGACAAAGTTACATAACAAAGTCACATAGTCATAACAAAGTCACAGTCATGACAAAGTTACAGTCATGACAAAGTTACAGTCATGACAAAGTTGCATGACAAAGTCACATAGTCATGACAAAGTCACAGTCATGACAAAGTTGCATAGTCATGACAAAGTTACATAGTCATGACAAAGTTACACAGTCATGACAAAGTTACACAGTCATGACAAAGTTACATAGTCATGACAAAGTCACAGTCATGACAAAGTGACACATTCATGACAAAGTTACACATTCATGACAAAGTGACATATTCATGACAAAGTGACATATTCATGACAAAGTCACAGTCATGACAAAGTCACATAGTCATGACAAAGTCACATAGTCATGACAGAGTTACATGATGAAGTCACATAGACATGACAAAGTTACAGTCATGACAAAGTTACATAGCTATGACAAGTTACATAGTCATGACAAAGTTACAGTCATGACAAAGTTACATAGCTATGACAAGTGACAGTCATGACAAAGTTATATAGTCATGACAAAGTTACAGTCATGACAAAGTTACAGTCATGACAAAGTGACAGTCATGACAAGTTACATAGTCATGTGACAGTCACATAGACATGACAAAGTCACATAGTCATGACAGAGTTACATGATGAAGTCACATAGACATGACAAAGTTACAGTCATGACAAAGTTACATAGCTATGACAAGTTACATAGTCATGACAAAGTTACAGTCATGACAAAGTCACATAGTCATGACAAAGTTACATAGTCATGACAAAGTCACAGTCATGACAAGTTACATAGTCACGACAAAGTCACATAGACATGACAAAGTCACATAGACATGAAAGACATGTGGACTAGTTCTTTCAGGTATCAGGCATAAATCTAAATTAACCGTTCCATGGGGATAGAGACACAGTGTATCTTCCACTGACAATGTAACATTTACACCTACACCCTGACAGAACAAGCGTTCCTTCCTTACATGTTTGACTCTTCTCTTCCTGTCCCCAGTCTGTGATCTTCTTCCCCAGATTGACCAGCAGAGCAAACCTCTCCTCCGCCATGTTACCCAGCAGGCCCTCCACCTCTCTCTTCCGTTCTCGATCCTTCATCCTGTCATTCTTCAGCACAGCCAGAACTTCATCTGCTGCTCCACACAACACATCCCGGGGCTGAAATGTCACACATAAAACACTGTATATTTGTGAGACAACCTTCAAGTGATCCAGTCAGTTAACATGTTAGATGTGCTGATGGAGATCAGGTTTGACAGCTGTCAGCTGACTTGACTGAAGTCATGAGTATGTCATATCTTTATGTAAACAGGATGTCACTGAAATATATGTTTCAATACATCATATGTTTCATTGAGTTTATTCAAAACTTCATTCGGCATATCTTACATTCCTGTCAGCAAAAGTGTACAATTGATTAATCCATAAGATCACACCATGAAACTGGTCCACATGTAAAAACAAGCCCAGAATATATCAAAGTGCCACACTCAAATCTGATTATATTTATGTATTTGTGTGTGTTAACTAAAATAACATGATACTAATATTATATTCCTGGCAAATTAAAACTATGCATATCAATACATGACAGCTGTTACCTGGGGGTGTCTGTGTGTTCTACCCTTCTCCCTAGGCAATCTGTCTATCCACTCTTGTTCTGGGGATAATATAGCTAAGATGGATAGTCAAAGATAAGTCCGGTATGTTGTTCAAGTCCATTTATTTTGGAATGAATTCTCACACAAACGTCCTCAGATATTGCCTAGTTTTCCTGGTCTACACATAACACAGATTCACAAACTTCATGGAAGAACTTGTTGATTCCTTGTACAACTCCTAACATTTCAAGTTCATCTGAGCCATTCTCTCAATATACAGAGAGAACCCCTCAAGTCAACGGTGGGGCCCAGGATCGCGCACTCTTTCCCAGTCAACTAACAAAATAGTCTTCATAACAATTTTGGCTCCTCCCCCTGATATAATGTCCTACATCATATAAAAATGACTCATATTCCAGCTGCACCACTGATTCTTCCATCATAAATTTACTTCGTTAGTGAGCTTAACTCTTTCAACACCAGTCAACCAGAGGCAACCAGAGGCATTTACTGCCATGACACCAAGGTCACAGATGAAGCCTATGTTTATGAAGGAAATTATAAAGCTTGTAAAACGTTATTACTACTACATCTAATACACCATTTAAAAGATCTAATCCCACTGTTGGTAAATATGAAGTATATTTTTATAATATAATTCAAATAATACAACTACAACTTAAATAAATTTATTTTTTAATGAAAATGCAAGTTTACATTTATAATGTCCAGATAAGCCACGAAAGAAGCAAGAACTATGGCGATTTTTTCCATTTGTGACATGTCATAACATGCCCGTGCCTTTTCACGTAATCAGAAAATTATTATAAAAAGATTTCTTAAATAATATGTATGGTCGCTTATTTCCCGATATCAGTGGCTTTCCGCTCGGTAACGGGACACAACAACGGAAAATACCTCGGTTTTCGAAGCTTCGTATGAATAACATGCGAGGCGATTCGTTTGATGTCGGGTATCGTTCGAAAGCTCTGAACATCAACATTATCACTGTACCCTTGCCAAGAGTATTTTCACAGTTGTAAGAAGCGATTTTATTGGATAAAGATTGGTTTCTAATGACGCTTTTTCGCCACAGTCTGCTATAAGGGTCGTCATTGGTCAAAACCAGACACGTGACCTAAGGCAGCCAATCATATTACGGCAATGGATACCGTCCTCGTAAACGAAAACTCTTAGATTTAGACGAAAGTTTTGGGTAAAATAATGCTATTCTGAACATATTAAGCAAGAAATCGCTACATATACATAAATTATGGGACTTATTGGACGTATCGTGCTAGGTTATGACCTGTGACAAAAATGCTTCATTCATATATTTTCGCATTAAACATCGTGTCCGAGCGTGAAGATTGAGCCGAGATGTCACTTGTCAGTGACTTGACTTGCATTACATGATCGCACAAAAAGATGGAAATAGTAATTTTATATGTACGTTTGACAACTTTTATGAATGCTGTTGTTGAATTTATTCATTAGTTTATTCAATCTATTTAATAATTTCCTCGAAACATCGTTACTTTGCTCTTTGACAATGTTATTGTGGACCCGCTGCCCGAAGCATGTGTCCGAGAATCGTTGTTTTCAATAACATTGCGAAAAATAGTTTATAATTTTAATTCTGGCGATAATATATGATCAATTGAAATTTAATAAGTCTTTTCAGACATTGTGAAATGTGATGGATTTAATATATGAATCATAAGTCGGGTAAGTTCCTAAAATTATGTCTCATTTTGACGTGACTACTGCCTGATATGTCTGGGGACTCATAACGTTGTGGCCGCTTAAGCGGCCTGCGGTGTTGAATGGGTTAAGTCATTTGTGAAGCATTCAACCGAATAAAACTTCAGACTGGCAGACGCCAGAAGATGCTTAATCGAATCATTACATGTGTCCCTTTCCTGATTCTTAGTATCTTAATTACCAGTAATTTCCTAAATGATATATGACTCACCCGATCCACATGTTCCACTCATCTCCCTTATTAGATTTGTTGTATGCAAGAGTAATGAATCGATATGAACTTGGTTACTCTGGTCAATGCACTTGCAAAGTACAATGACACTTCTTAACTGGACTTCAAAGTTTCCATAAATATTTACCAAATGTATTTTAAGTTTTCAATTTATAAATATCCTGGTTATACTATCTCAGATTAGGATATTACAACTTTAGATCATGATATGGCTTCCTCAGATTATTATATGACCTCAGATTATGATATGACCTCCTCAGCTTATATGACTTCTTCAGCTTATGAAATGACCATCAGATTATGACATGACCTCCACAGATTACAATATGACCTTCTCAGATTATGATATGACCTCCTCAGATTATGATATGACCTCCACAGATTACAATATGACCTCCTCAGCATATTACATGACTTCCTCAGATTATGATATGACCTCATCAGATTATGACATGACCTCCCCACGTTATGGTAAGTCCTCCTCAGATCATGACATGACCTCAACAGATTATATGACCTCAGATTATGATATAACCTCAGATTATGATATGACCAGATCTGATTATATGACCAGATCTGATTATGATATGACCAGATCTGATTATGATATGACCACATCTGATTATGATATGACCACATCTGATTATGATATGACCCCAGATTATATGACCTCATCTGATTATGATATGACCTCAACAGATAATGTTATGACCCCCTCAGATCATGATATGACTCCTCTGATTATAATATGACTTCTTCAGATTATACGACCTCAACAGATTATGATATGACCTCAACAGATTATGATATTACCTCAGATTATGATATGACCTCCTGTGATTATGATATGACCTCAACAGAAAATGTTATGACCTCCTCAGTTTGATATGACTTCTTCAGATTATGAAATGACCTCCTCAGATCATGACCTGACCTCCTCAGATCATGATATGACTCCTCTGATTATAATATGACTTTTTCAGATTATATTACCTCAACAGATTATATTACCTCAACAGATTATGATATGACCTCAGATTATGATATGACCTCCTGTGATTATGATATGACTTCCTCAGATTATGATATGACCTCAAAAGATAATGTTATGACCTCCTCAGTTTATGATATGACTTCTTCAGATTATGAAATGACCTCATCAGATCATGACCTGACCTCCTCAGATCATGATATGACTCCTCTGATTATAATAAGACTTCTTCAGATTATATGACCTCAAGAAATTATATGACCTCAACAGATTATGATATGACCCCAGATGATATGACCTGATCAGATTATGATATGACCTCAACAGATTATGATATGACCTCAGATTATGATATGACCTCAACAGATTATGATATGACCTCAGATTATGGTATGACCTCCTGTGATTATGATATGACATCCTCAGATTATGATATGACCCCAGATTATATGACCTCATCAGATTATGATATAACCTCAACAGTTTATGATATGACTTCTTCAGCTTATGATATGACCTCAACAGATTATGATATGACTTCTTCAGATTATAATATGACTTTCGCAGCTTAAGATACTATATCAGCAAGAGGCTGAAAACTTTGTTTCAGGTCGTTTTCACTCCACGGTTGGAAAAACAAGAGAAAGTGCATAATGTTATATTGAAAACTTAAATTGAAAAATAAGAAATTCTCTCAAGAAATCTCTTTGTACTGTATTTTACAACATGCAAATATCAAGCAATTTCTGACAATCCGGACACGAACCAGTTCAACATGAAAACAGCCAAGACAGAATGGGCCTCCATTTGCAATGGTACCAATCATGTCACTGTCTTTAATGGGAACACGAATCAAGACAAGTCATTTTCCCAAGGCAGGTGACATTCTAAATGACAATGGAGTGAGTGAGTGAGTTAATATTTAACGTCACATCGGCAATATCTCAGGCATATTGTGACGAGAACATATTTGACATTGAGCGAGTGAGTGAGTGATTATAAATGACAATGGAAGCACTGGACAAAGCATTGTGGGGGTGTTAATATTGTCCCACTTACCTGATCTCCTATGGCTGCCTGGATGAAACTCAGTAGAACCTCATATGTCTGTCTGGTCTCTGTCGTCTTTGGTCGGTACAGGATTCCAACCATCTGATCAATACCCTCGGACAACAGTGTCGTGCCCTTCATCTTTATCATGTCTCTTTGAGCCTCATCACGCTTACGCCGTCTGAAATTGAAATATAAGTTTATTAGCACAACTATCAAGTTCTGATTCAGTACATGACAACTCTAACTTAACAAAGTTTAACAACTTAAGCATGCTGACTAACTAACCTTACAAGACAAGACACACATATCATATTGAGGCAAGCAGTGATCCACACTAACACTGGTCTGAAAGCAACATTAAATACATGGTGGTAAAAAGGTCTAGTGCTGCATGGAGCTATCACAATTTTCAATGGCACTGAACAAGAGTGTGGCTTATATGAATTTTACTGCAATCAGGAAACTGATGATGGACAAAATGGCTGAGCAAATGTCAATTAAATTAATTCATAATTAAATAAATTTAGGGTCAGCAGTATTTTATAAATACAGTTGGTCGGTTATCGGAACCACATGTATTTTGTTGTTAAGCCCTATGTAGAACATGACTTCATACATTCTGACTGCAAAGTTTCACTTGCAAAGTCTTTCCACTAAAAAGTAGATGTTTGTATTTCACAGGACAAGGGATTGTATATCACCCAGTGAATTATATTTACATTCCAATATGATAAATATTGTGGACATTCAAGTATCATTCTTAATAACAGAATTACTAAATTGGACAGCTGTGTTTACTACTGCATGATTCACAATGAGCTGAAAACAGCAGCAGCCATTGGGTCCAGGGTACTTATCAAAGTCAAAGGATGTTTATTGTATGAAAGGCCTCCGGCCCATATACATGAGAGTTACAGTGATAAAGGAATATTTTTGATATTTACATATATATTTAAGGGTATACAATTCGCTTTATAAGAGGATCTCTTTTAGCTAATGCATGCTTTATATACAAAGACAATTGAACAAGAATATTTTCATTATTATTTTGTAACAAAGATATATATATTATCATAAAAGAGATAAAATATGTTGGATAATGCAGGTGGATGGCAATGACTCTTGTAAACTTACATTTTACCATGTACTCGGAAAATACTTTATTATGTTTGGTAAATAACGTTTTAAACTACAATTATCACCTCTTAATTTAAACAGCTGAGATGACAGCCCCTTCACCATGTTCACTGCAAACACTATTATACAGAAAAGAGATCATTGCCAATCATCAGGTTACCAAATGTGGATTTAATTCAAGATTTGAATGAACATTGCTAAATCTATTTGTAATCTAGCTCCACAGTGTATATTTTCCTCCAAGAGGACACTAAAGCAGGGATTGGGATAGAGAACTTTGACAATGGGCAGTTTTCAGGATTATTAACCATATTCTGAATTTAGAATGGGCCACTGCCCTTGTATCAATAGCAAACTTCAAAATTTTAAAAAACCACTTTTTATTCTAATGTGCAAAATGGCCCATGGCCTCTGCCTTACCCAATCCTTGCTAAAGTTTAAGAGTCTTACTTGTTTTTTCTTTCCTCCATCTGTGGTGGTTTAGTTTTCTGGGCCCTGTCTCCCATTCTTGTGCCTGTAATCTTTCCCACAAGGGACATAACTTCACCAGTTGATTCATCTCGAGCTCTTCGGTCAATGAGAGAACGATCAACTTGCAATACAAGGTTGGAGTTCTGGAAGAAGATTTTCATACCTAAAATTCATGCTGTCACAGAAATGAATATTCTTCAAATGCACTATACTCCAAAAACTGCATGGACTGAAAGGAATACTATAAGTTTTCATATAGTGTATGTGTGTGTATGTGTGCTGATGTAAATGACTAAGGGAACACATGGAAGTAAAAGTGTTCCTTAATGATGCAGTATGGGTGAAAATCTGGGAACAAATAAAGGTACCTTTCCACTTTCTTGAGTACCTTTATTCATTTCCATTTGTATAAAATTAATTTAGCTGTGTCACAATGACACAGCTGATACATCACTACCTGGTGTTCATCCACTTTTTTATATTATGGGTTATGTATTCCAACAGCCCTTCACAATCCTCAGGTTTGGACCCCACATGCAAATCAAACACCATTACAATCCTTTAGTATCTACGGTTTGCAATGAAGTAGGGCATGCACTAGCTATCATTTTACATGATTTATTCTCATGCAATTTGAGGATAATCTGTAAGTGTATTTGTGGAACGTGTTCACACTTCATACAGAAACAACAACAAAACCGACAAACATGACAATCACCATAAAGTGTGGAACATAATTATTTAACTAGCCACATTTTCCAAGGAGACAAAACTGAATGTGTGCTCACTCTGTTGTGGTTGGTGTGATCGATACATGACATGTGACAAAAAGTGAAATGAATTGTTATGTATAAGTGATTTTTGGAATAAAAGATGCGAACAATGATAAGTCGTTAACACAAGAAATTGAAAGAATAGGTGGACCGGACTCTGTTGCAGCTAGAGTGACTATGGAATCATTATTTGTGCCAAGTGCACTATAACAACGTTTATAGATTTCGGCAAACTGACTCCATGTTAGGGTTTGGGTATACATTTTAACTGTTTGTTGTGGTCAGTGTGATCTATACATGACTTGTGACAAAAAGTGAAATGAATAGGTATATACAAATGATTTTGGAGATAAAAGATGCGAAAAAGTCGTTAACACAAGAAATTAAAAGAATAGGTCGACCGGACTCTGTTGCGGCTAGAGTGACTATGGAATCATCATTTGTGCCAAGTGCACTACAACAACTGGACAACGTTTATAGATTTCGGGTAAATGATTCCATGTTAGGATTTTTGGTATACATTTTATGGTTTAGATTTCTATTTGGGAGTACTGCACTTTACCGGGCTCAGTTTTTCAGATTAATTAGCACTGCTGGGATTCCCTAACCCTAAGGATCGTAAAGGGTGCCTAACCCTAAACCCTAAGGATCGTAAAGGGAGCAGCGAGGGCTGCGCCCGGTAAACATGGGTAGAGTGCATTCTAGTCTTCTATTTCTTAAATGGCTCACTATTCACATCAAAACATACTATTCCAGCAATCACAACCACAACAATGAAATCGTTTTACGTTTTGCACGAAAACTGGGGTCGTCCTTTGAATACATGGAATACATCTCAAAATTCTGCTAAATCATAATAATTAGAAACTTACAGCTTTGTATTCATATTGAAGCGACCGAGCCGCAGCATCCGCCATGGCTGAAGCACTCTATAGGTATAGTAATCCTACTTGTGCTCCAGTCGTTTATATGTCGTGTTTTCACGTTTGGAGAACGCACGCTTATGGTAGAGTGCGCTGCATGCGCTTGTTTCCGTTTCCGGTAAGAGCATATTTGTGGGAACACTAACAACACAGGTAGTTATATAATAAAATAATTTAATCGATATAGACAGGATTTATTTGAATTTCCTCTGAACTGCCTATGTTTATATCTCTAATATTTAAAAGGACTTAAACTTGCTTAGTTAATGTGTTTGGATGAGTATCAATACAACTATTTGAATATATGAAATGGTTGGTTTTGAGACCCGTCGTATGTGCAGGGAAAATAAGCTGGGTCCTGTCTCTCAAATCGTAATAGATGTGCGTAAAGGGAGCCGAGAACCAGCATACAGTAAAATTGTTCCGTAAGATTAGGCCAATTCGCTGCACACAGTTGAATTACGTCAGTAAGAATTTTGCCGTATCATTACTCATTACAATTAGTTAATCTATTTGGCATCTATCAGATGTCACAAAACGTTGACCGGGTCGTCGACAGGGGTACCACAGATATGTACTCCAGGTACGTTTCTATATATACTGAAACTTAACCCGGGGACGAGTCCACCGTTTTCTTGATCGCAACTGTATCAGATGCATTAGAGGAAAGACTTCCGCCCGTATGCCCCCTAAAGTTCATTCTAGTCAAATCATATCACCTGAATACATATTCCTCACCTGATAAGAATGAGTTTAACATGTTTCTGAAATTGTGTTTGAACATACTGGAAGACATATCCAACTTCAATCCTCATCGTTAAAATTTAAGGGGGATACGGGCGGAAGTTTTACCCGGTGATTGACAAGATTTTTACAATATAGCGTATAAATATGATAAAATGTACCTGTCACCTTGACGCAACTAATGTTATTCAGCCGTAGCGAGCCCTTACTCTGTACATAGCAAACCATAACGGCCACTAGCAAACATCTTATTGCTGGTGCGTATTGCAGGGTGTGTTAATGGTACCGGATATGCTTTTGTATTTTGACTTTATTTTTGGTACCTTTCTGTATTTAAAGAAACATACCTGGGGTACATATCTTTAGTACCCTTGCTGACGACCCCTTCAGAGTTAGTGAGGCAATTTAAGAAATTGAAGGTTGTTAAATCAGGGCTCAATATAAGGAAAACTACTTGCACCCGGTGCAACCTCAGGTATTAACCTTGGTTGCATCTGTGCTCACTTTAAACATATGTATAACTATAACTTGTGTTTGGGTATTGATGATTCCGAACATCATTACAACAGAATTATTCTGGGTCTGATAAGATCATCTTACTTCATAAAATTTCATGACACGAACAGTAACAGTCATTCAGTCACTGTCAATGCAGTCATGAGAGTCACTGCTCCAGTTAAACTTGTTGTTTTTCATGATTGACGTTTATATTTCTGCCTTCCCTGTTAGAAAGGAAAGACTTCAGAGCCAGGGTACCACAGAGTCAGGAACTGAGCATTCACAGTGAATACTTTTGATTACAGATATAATAAAAGCTGAACAATCAAATAAGCTGAAGTGAATTACTTATATATGATATATAGGTCCATCTCCTTATATCGTGGTAAACACGTTTTCTGCCGAAATCGCCGATGCGCGAAACTTAGCGGTTGTTTACATCACCGACTGGTAACCAGGTAGTGGACCAAGTCTGTGAGTGATCAAAATCTTGCAGTGTCACGAATATTGGGGAGTTTATACCAACTTGGACAAATCATTACTTTTTCCCGCCCTTTCCGGCAGGATTGCTCTTACATACACTCAATAATGTTAATTCCTGGTAATACCACGAGAATGGGAGAAGCTCGTTTAATCAATGGCGGATGGCATTGTTTATCACCGGGCTCATAAGTGGTAATTCACCTGATGGATCTGGCAGCTGATAGATGTAGGTGTTAGAGGAGAAGGCCCTTCATTTAAATACAACAAGCATTAATACGATAAGGATTGTTTGTGTTATTTTTTCAGCCGATATCCGTAAGTACGGCGAGAATAGGAAACGCCTTCCTAATTTTTGTTTGTTACCAACAAAACCACTGCTCTAAGTTAGATCCTCATCACTCTGTTTCCATCGGAAGTCTGTGTTATTTTAACAGCAAATGGAAATGTGAAGGGAAGTTGAACTACACAACCCTTTTCTGATCAAGCACCCATGTATTCTCTCTTCCTGGTTTTTCTCTAGTGTTTTGGGGTATAGTCATGAATTCTTGTCATCTGATGATAAGCTGAATTGGGAGATTGATGTATATGTTTCACCACATCGCAAATTACTGTATATTCTGTGAACTTGATTCTATCTTGTGGTCTGATTATGTAATGTCATTTGAGAGATTTTCCTCCCCCCTTGGTCACTTGTATTTTGGCAAGCCTGCAGACTGTGTCTCTTGTTTCACTGATCTAGCATGCCATTTTGACCAAGCAGCTCTTCCCAATTCATACACCCATTTATGATGCTTGGGGTTTGTTAGGATTTAGGTTATGGATCAGCTATCTCAAAATATATCATGAATTCCTCCAATATATATAGAGGAGAATCTAAAATTTTTGGGTTTTCAGTTTTATACAGAAAAATGAATACTGCTCTGGCGCATCAGTGTAAACAACTGGGGACTGATCACGAGATGACCAAGCACTGATATTTAATTATTGCAACCATACTCTCATGTTAAAGTGTTGCCTAATATAATGACATCATTAAAGGTCACATGCAACGTAAAACACAACTTTGCAGATTCTGATACCTTTCGGTATGGACTTACCGAAACAAATCATCCAAAATGCAAATTCAACTTATAAAGTTGAAAAATAACGCGATGAAAAAAAACGTGCGAAATCGTAGTTCAAACGATTCACTAACTTTCCCCCAGAGCTTGGGGGAATTGAAGTGGTTTCAACAACTGGGCTGCGCTCATAGCACATGCGCAGTGAAATAGGTTCGCGGTGCTTGGTGTGAGCTATTTTTCTAATGTTTTGTTTATATTTCACCGGCGCGAGCTTTTTATATGTTATTACAGTAGATAACCGATTTAACTGTTTATATAATTTCATTTGTCTATTTCACCACACGTTCTTCTTACCGAGTCACTTTCTCAGTTCGATACTTAAAAGCAATGTCATTATTTAGCGTCGACAGAATTTCTAACTGTGATATAGATATGTCGCTGTCACAGACAAAACTCAATGTCTTGTTTTATTGACACCTATGTGTCTGCCTGCATGTCTGCTAATGACAATATTCAATACACAGTTTCAATCACTGACCACATGCAATTTGAACTTAACACCTATCAGGCTATACACCATAAACAACACGCATTGATTTATGGCCCGAGTTCGGTCTCTGTCACATTATGTAATTACACAGACAGGCAGGTGTGATACTTGAACACATGACATGTTATGATGTCTGTTGATTGCAAAATGTTATACACAAAAAATGAGCATGTATTCACAAAACCCAACATCTCTATATATACACACACAATGAGCCGTGAGGACGGCATCTGCAAATGAACCATCCGTTACACTTGAGTGTACACCCACCCGCTCTGACTGGGTTCGGTACCCCTGCTGCTTAGTTTCTTGGGAAGTAAACCCAAGTACAAAATATTTCACTTTTGATTTGCGATTGTAATAGAAGGGGGGTACTACCGCAGATACGGCTTAGAGGCTTATTTGTGGGAATTAAGCCTCCCAGCCCCCCTTAAAAAAAATAACGAGAACCATCCTTCGATGTGCAAGTTCAAATAAAAAAGTAGCAAAAGCCCTCTTTGGCCACAACCCACGGAGGGAGAAATTGGTGTTTTGACCAGAGACCCGCCTGGTCCCTGGTCTGATGATGTTTGTGGTGCGCTGGTATTTCTCCCGGGGGTTGTGGTTGACTGCGCTCTCCCTGAGAGCTCCTTGTCATTTTTTTCCGAACGGTAGGCTTCGAACCTCGTTGACAGAGATGCGTAACTCTGTACCTTGATCGTACCCAGCAGTTGTTCGACTGAGCCACAGACGACCTGATAGCCGAGTGCTCGGTTTAACGGGTGTATCCTGAGATTGCACCATCCTCTTAAACCGGGCTCCGTCTATAGTAGCGTAATGGATGTCTGAAACCCGTCATTCCACTTCCGCTTCAATACTTTGTGCACGTTTGGTGGCTTTTTCACCTCGAATCCATGTCTCATAAAATACAAACACGATGCCCGTAGGTAGTTTGAAGAACACTGAATACTATACATTAGTCGACGAACGCTGAAAAAAATTGCAGAGGCCACAATCCATATTCATCTTGAGCTGGGCTCCGTCTATACTAGCTACAGTAGCGCAGAACCTGTCTTGCTCGCCTCGTGCACGTTTGGTGGTTTTTCACCTCAAATCAAGGTGTAATAAAATACAATCACGATGCTCTTAGGTAGTCTAGACCCCGCTGATGACGATGTTTAGAAACATGTTTAGAAACCACAATCGGCTAATTTCAAATCGGGTTACATAAGCTCACAAAGCGTATGAGCTATATCTAGCTTGAATGCACCATCCCTGATAGAGTGAGACTGCCGGTCTGAAGGGAACGTGTCGGACTTCGGACATAGAGTTTTAGCGTTCGAATCCCAGACTGAATTTTTTTTTGTTTGTTCTATTTTTGGGGTAATACCGTGTACAATTTGTAATTCCTCTTGGACGAATCCCCTACCCGGTCCGTCTTGCAAGTAATACAGATTCGGTTCGTCGTCTTTGATGTCCACTCGGTCGAAGTGGTACGTTTTAACGGACCATGCAGGGTCTGTGGCGCGACGTTGATTCCCTCCTCCGAGTTCACCCGGGCTGGTACAGATACCTCACGATGACCTGGTCCGGTAGTTTTTTCTCTTGACCGTGACGTGATGGCGCAGCCGATTCAATCGTCACGGATTTCATTCGAATGGCTTCGACGGGTCTTTTATCGAGTAGTCGAGTGACTTCGTTGTTGATCGCCGACAACTCTCGCGGTAAGCGTACGTCCCATTCCGTCGATTGTTTTTCTGGGTTGGCCATCTCTTAGGCATACTGATGTCCGAACAATCGCTCTGCTAAAGTCCTGTTGAATCTGGCTTTGGTGAGCTCCGACCACGCCTCGTCTCACCTGGACTTTATGCTTTGATAACAGCTGCGACACGGCTCCCATGAACTCGCGTCTGGGATCGACTTGTAATTCGGTCGGCCTGGTCAAGCGACTGCGTTTGTAGATACGTTCTAAGGCCTTAGCGACTTGACTCGAATCTTTGGACGTTAACGGCTCCGCTTCCTTGAAGCGACTGGCAACGTCCACGACGGTCAGGGTGTACTTGTACGTTTTGTTTCTCACCCTGTCGTGTGGGAGAAACAGGAGGTCGGCTTGATGGGTACGATTGGGTATGGAAATGTCAACTTTCTTCTCGGGAAGTATCGGGGAGCCGGCAGGTACACTTGCCAGATGGGTTGTTTTTTAAACCAATCTTTGGCGGTATCCTCGGAGACGCGAGCCGCTTTGGCTAGCTTCGGGATGGCGCTCAC